CTCAGTGACCGCACCCTTGCTGCGCAAGGGGAGGACTGTGGTGTAACGCGAGTAGTCGTCAACCACCAACAGGAAGTAGCGCTTGTAACCCTGCCCACGGACGGGGGCTGGGCCCCACACATCCATGTGAAGCGTCTGCAGGGGAGCCTCTGTCGGGGGGAAGTGGGAGGAGTGAGGAGTAGCCCGGAGGCGACCCTCGACACAGGGGACACAGGAAGGTCCTGGCCCGGAGGGGAGAGGAGGGAGAGACTTGGGAAGACCAGAGACAAGGACACGGGAAGCCATGCTCCGAAGACGGGGCAAGGAGGGGTGGCCAAGACGGTGGTGCCACAGGAGAGTCTCTGTCAGAATAATATATAGTTTTATATATTGTTTTGTAACTGCCTGTAGTGTAGATTACTGTAGTTATACAATGTTCTGTTTTGGTGGTGCACCTTTCATTTTGCCTATATGTACTGCTCGCTCTATAGTGAAACCACTTCTTCTCTTCCAATTTCTCGACTCTCCTAAACTTACTCGAACTCAACCATGGCTCCTAAGCCTACCCATTGCTAGTATCTTGACAGTCTCGTGAGACAGGAGGCGATAAGAACAGGGGGCAGACTCAGGACCTGACCGGGACGCAGCAGCAAGTACCTGACCCGACGCAGCCACCTGACCAGACGCAGGGACAGGAGGAGACTCAACGGTCAGGGTGTAGAGACTCGACCCCGGCCGACGCGAGAACGTGGCCAGGTGTCGGCCTGTGCGTGCCTCCGTGCAGTGGGTCACCCGCTGACTCGCAGGAGTGAACTGGTGAACACCCCCATCCTGCAGGTCCGCTCCACTCACCAAGTTCGTGGAGAACGAGGGAAGGTACAGACCCGACAGGGTGCCCGAAGGGGCAGCCGGACACGGGAGGACAGTGGAGAAGTGAGACAGGACAGGACCTCCAGAGGGGTCAGCAAGGGAGACTGCAACCGGTCGGCCGAGCGGCGTAAGGGTAGTGCGGTCTCGAAAGAAGGAGCGAGAAGCTCCGGAGTCAAGTGTGAAAGTGAGGGAGGACGAGGACGACGCAGTACCTGAGAGCGCAGTCTCACCAGTACCTGAGAGCGCAGACGCACTGGCACCTAGAGCAGCAGCCTCACAAGCACCTAGCGCAGCAGTACCAATGCCCGGGTCGGGCTGGAAACAACGGTAACCCTCATTCTCCTCACTATAATCCACAACATACATAGCAGTAAGGATAGCATCAAAATCAAGATCAAAGATCGCTACACCAGCCCTGAGAAGCTCATCCCAGCGAGGGATCTCACTAGCCCCAGGGAACTGCTGACGCCAGGCGTCCGTCAGGCGGCCAAAGCAGCGCTGGGTGGCGTGGGCACCCCCACACTGCTCACCCGCGCGGTCGCCGGAACGAAGAACGTAGGTGCAGGGACCAGTACCCCCACCCCTCTGACGCCCAGCGTACCACTCACGAAGCTGCTGAGGCGAAGGGATGTCCCGAGAGCGCTGCTGCTGCTGCCGGTGCGAGCGCTGGCCACCACCACCGCCGCTACGCTGCTGGGTACCACCCCGACCAGCTCCACCCCCTCCACCACCACTGCCTCCTCCGCCGCCGCCTCCACCGCCTCCACCTCCGCCGCCTCCACCCCCGCCGCTGCCTCCACCACCACCGCTGGCACCACCACTACTGTCCCCGCCGCTGCTGCCACCACCACCACCACCCCCGCCACTAGTCCCACCGCCACCCCCACTCCCTCCGCCGCCACCGCCGCCACCGCCACCGCCTCCTCCAGCTCCACCCGCGCCCTTGCCCCCCTTGCCCTTGCTGGAGCGACGTCTCCCACTAGGGGCAGACGCCGCGCCGACCGACTCAAGACCAAGCAGGTCGGCAGCAGCAGCAGAGGCAACAGAGGGCAGCAAGGGGGAAGGAGAGCACCCCTCAAAGATGGGGGTGCGAGGGTCACCACGAGAAGCACCTACAGCGACTATGCTCTTCTCCGCTGCGAGGAGGGCCTTCTCGAGGAGGTCGACGGTGAGCGTGGTGGGGCAGACTGCGAGAAAGTGGTCCCTGACGACTCGAAGGGAGTCAGGGAGGCGCGCGACTACGTAGTAGAGAGCGATGTACATGGGGGGGGGGTTCTTAGCGCAGAACTCAGCAGGAAGGGCGGCGCGGTAGCGAGTGTCACTAGTGCGGGGATGCGTAATGAGGTCAGCGACAGTGGGAAAGGCAGAGAGGTCAGGAAAGAGGTAGGGAAGCATGAGACGGCTCAATGCAGCAGTGGCAGGGGAGGAGTAGCGCGCAACTACAGCGTCGTACAAGGTCTGAGCACTCTTGTACTGACTGAAGTGCGCACGCTCAGAGGTAGGAAGGTGGCGACGCACAGCAAGACGTGCAGCAGCATCGCGGGTGGCCCACTTAGAGCGGACAGCGGGATCAGCATCAGTAGCAGGAGCAGGAGAGGCGCCAGAGGTGAGGTCAAAGAGAGAAAGGTCGTCAGCTCTGTCGCACTGTAAGAACAGCTGCAGGTCGTCTAGCCAGACCTCAAAATCAATGGCGCGACCCTCAGCGTCAAAAGCTAGGACACTAGGGGTAGCCATGACGACGACTGTGAAGCAGTGCAAGCAGTAGGGGGGAGAGCACGCAGTGACAGTGGGACTGTGCTCACCAGGCAGGGCAGGTCGCGTAGCTCGACAGAAAGGCAGCTCGGCGACCGGGCGGCTCGGGTGCACAGCGGCTCGGCTCCCGGGCGGCTCGGCGGCAGGGCAGCTCGGGGGCAGGGCGGCTCGGCTCCCGGGCGGCTCGGCGACAGGGCGGCTCGGGTGCAGGGCGGCTCGGCTCCCGGGCGGCTCGGCTGCAGGGCGGCTCGGCTCCCGGGCGGCTCGGCGGCACAGCTGCTCAGAGGTCCGCCCGCACAGTCGTTACAGGTGGACGGCGGGGCCGATGCGTAGTGGGCGGCGAAGCCGCGGTTGAGCAGGCGGCGGCCGCAGCCTAGTGGGCTGGGAGGCCGCGGTCGTAGCAGGCGGCGGGGCCGTGCGAGCAGGCGGCTGGGGCCGCGGTAGTAGGTGGGCGGCGGGGCCGCGCGAGAAGACGGCCGGGGCCGCTACGGTAGTAGGCGGCGGGGCCGCGGTCGAACAGGCGGCTGGCGCCGCGGTCGTAGCAGGCGGCGGGGCCGTGCAAGCAGGCGGCCGGGGCCGCGGTAGTAGAGGGCGGCGAGGCCGCGCTAGCAGGCGGCCGGGGCCGCGACAGTAGCGGGCAGCGGGGCCGCGGTCGAACAGGCGGCTGGGGGGCCGCGGTCGAGCAGGCGGTCGGGGCCGCGGTAGTAGCGGGCGGCGAGGCCGTGCGAGCAGGCAGCCGGGGCCGCGACAGGAGCGGGCGGCGGGGCCGCGGTCGAACAGGCGGCTGGGGCCGCGGTCGTAGCAGGCGGCCGGGGCCGCGATCGTAGTGGGCGGCGGCCGCGGCGTAGCGGGCGGCAGGGCCGTGTCGAGCAGGCGGCTGGGGGGCCGCGTCGAGCAGGCGGCTGGGGGCCGCGTCGAGCAGGCGGCTGGGGCCGCGATCGTAGCGGGCGGCTGGGGCCGCGACTTAGCGGGCGGCTGGGCCGCGTGTGGGAGGGAGGCGACACGGAGGGTCGCTCGAGAGCGGAAAAAAAAGTTGAGCGCGCCTCGGGGCGCGCTTCGGTGGGCCCTAGGCAGAGTTCCACAGGGAACCCGCTCTATACCATGTAAAAATGAGTAAGCAGGAATGAGAATGACTAAGGAAAGATTGGGTACAAATACAACCCTAGAAACCCTGTACCCCATATGTGCTACCCCACTATAGCCTACAGCAACTATGTCATATAAATCTGACAAGTGACTCTCTGCAGGGCCGTTAACAACGTTGACGTGAAGGATTCTTATCGTTGTAGAACCGTTTTCGACTGCAACCCGTTTTTTTAGCCTCTTCCTTTATGCCGTTGTAGATTATATTTATGCAGAACATGATGTTCATAGGGTAGTAGGACGTTTTGGTATACAGAGAACCGACTCGTCGATTGAGACATGCTACAATAAGGCAGTATTATAGCTGCCATGTGACTGAATCATCTTGAACGTTGCGATTTTTCAAACGGACAACGCGTATGCGACGGGAGAATAGTCCAATTGTGATAGCGATGGCTATTTTATTTTATTGATGCCTTGGCCCAATTTTACAGGCCCAATTTCCCATCGAGTCTGCCTATTGCTGTTTAGGTTCCCATTTTTACGTACACGTTTTTATTTCTGCGGCTGCTGTGCTCTGAACTGAATTACGCAATGGGGCGTTTCATTCCCTTGCGTGTTCCGTTTCACTTTCCGTCGAGTCGAGACGGAGCCCGTCGACGGAGACGGATTTCCTCGACGGGAGAAGAGGGCCAGGAGGGGGAGCACGTGGGGTCCACGCCAGCTCGAGCGGGGACCACCTCGCGTCACTCCGAGCTGGCGGGTCACGTTTCGGGCGGGCGGGGTGGCTGTCTCCCGCCCGTCGCGTGCCCCGCCACGCGACTGCGGGAAAACGAAAATCCCTCCGAGGAAAACCCGCAGGGGCGAAAGGGGGTCCTCGGAGGGATTTGGGCGACGTCTTCCCCACACTTCCCTATGTCCCCAAGCCCTACACAACAGCACCACTACGGCTTCGCGCCCACCAATCGCGGAGGTCTCGACGCTTGCTCATTTGCTACCGACCCTTCATTCGTCGCCGATTCTAGGCTGCGAGATTCAGTCAATTTTCGAGCTCGAAGTCGAAGCTTCATTTTTGCAATCGCTAATACGGAGCCGGCATCCTTTCTCCGTTTATATTCCGTTCGCTAAGAGGTCACTTTCAGGTCTCGAAATTCGTTTTAGTCACGATGGCTGATAGCGACGATGAGATTCCGGTTTCCAACCCGCTTCCGCCGCCGCCGCGGCCGGGCCGGAAGAAAGAGCATGAGCGTGCTCCGGAATCCACGCCGGGAAAGGCTGCGGAAGCTGCGAATTTGTCGAATAAGGATTTTCGAAAGATGGTGCTAGAGACTCCGCGACGCGGGTCGCAGCAGCCGGAGAAGAAACATCAGGAGAAGAACAAATAGTAAGAAGCCTAATTAGGTCAACGGTGAAGATCCTTTTCAAAGCAGCCTTTGAGAGATTACGAGCCGCGGGTCTGAGCAGACGGAGAGTAAGGGACGGAGCATAGCAAGTCGTTAGGGATCTTATTTGAATAGTATAGTACGGTATGGTGCCTAAAAAAAAGTCCTGAAGTTTGCTCTCAGGTGGGTTCGCAGGTTGACTAGTGCGACGGGGAAGTTTGAGAGAAATGCAACGGAATGTTTGGTTACGTTCGTCAGGCAGGGAAACGATGAGGTTGCTGAATGATTTGCTGAATGATCTGCTGAATTATTATCTCTAGTCAAATTTGTTACGCCTACCCCCCTCAAGTCCCTCCTTTACACCTTCCCCATCCTCTTCCTCCCCCCACGTCTCCATCCCCCCCTCCCGCCCACCTCACCCTCCACCATTTCACTTTTCCCCTTCGTCCCCCCACCTTGCTCCCCCCTCCCCTCCCCAACCTCCCCCTCCCCTCCTCCCCCCCTTTTTTTCATTCTGCAGCAAGCGATTCAACGACCCCAGTGCCTCTCCTGCTTCAGACGCCAGGCACAAGCTTATATTTTCTGTTCAATTTTATTACGCCTACCCACTCAAGTCCCACCGTCACGCCTTTCCCGCTTCTCCCCTCCCCCCTTCCCCCCCCTTCCTCCCCCCGGTCTTCCCGCAGCAAGCGATTCAACGACCCAAGTGCCACTCCTGGTTCAGACGCCAGACGCAAGTACTATGGCAAAGGAAAAGGGTAAGTTCGCCTGCAAAGTAATAATGGGTAAATAATCCTGCACTGTGAAAAGGGCAAGCAAGAATGCTGGTAGGAGACAGCGAGCTTTGTTTTGCTGCTAGCCCTTGTCTGGACTGCTTCCCGCAACTATTTCCACCTATCTCAATCCATCTACACCTCTTTCTACTGTTTCGTTCTCCCCCCTCCTCCCCCCACCACACCCTTTTCCAGAGAAGAGGGTGCTTCTGCGGGGGGTGATAGTAAAGAGGGCGAGGAGCCTCAGTACAGGGACAGAGCAAAGGAGAGACGGGAGGAGGTGAATCCGGACTACAAGGACGTTGCTGTGCCCAGCCACCTGGGACAACTGAATGCCGTCGCCCCTCCTGGTGTTGACCTAACGTGAGTACCAGTAAACAGTCGACTGAGCAGCACCGTCAGAAGGGTTTGTATGAGTGGGAGAGGAGAGGCGAGAGGAGGTGAATCCGGATCACAAGGACGCTGCTGTGCCAAGCCACCTGGGGCAACTGAATGCCGTTGCGCCTCCTGGTGTTGACCTAACGTGAGTAGCAGTAAACAGTCGACTGAGCAGCACCGTCAGAAGGGTATGTATGAGTGGGAGAGGAGATGCGGGAGGAGTTGAATCCGGTCTACAAAGACACTGCCGTGCCGAGTCACTTGGGGCAACTGAATGCCGTCGCTCCTCCTGGTGTTGACTGAACGTGAGTAGAAGGGCGATAGAGAAATAGAGTAGTACTATATCTTCACAAGGGCATGAGAGTGGGACGAGGGAGGAGGATTGCTTACCGAAGCGCCTTCTCCCTACGGGGGGTTGGTTTCCTCCGGGGATCTCCTTAAAGCCCAAAAAAGAAAAAGAAAAAAAAAAAGAAAAAAAAAAAAAAAGAAAAAAAAAAAACGGACTACAAGGATGCAGCCGTGCCAAGCCACCTGGGACAACTCAATGCTGTCGCTCCTCCTGGCGTGTGAGTAGCTGAGGAAGGGAGAGTTACAGCGTAGCACCATCAGAAGAGTTCGGGAGGGAGAGGAGGGAGAGGAGGGAAAGGCGGAAGGAGGCGTGCGTGCGTGAGCTCGTCAAACCCCGAACCCCCCAATGTCCCGATATTTAAAGTGCAAAACCCTGGCCTTTGGTGTTGCTGAACGGAATTCCTTTGAATGTCCTTCTTCACAACCCTAGTATACGCCCAACCCGTCAACCTCTCAACCCTGATCTGAACCTTCTTGCAGCACCACGGACGCACACAAGTTGGCGATTGAGAAGTCCAAGTTCCTGGGAGGAGACGTGGAGCACACGCATCTGGTGAAGGGGCTGGACTATGCGCTGCTCAACAAAGTGACTTTTTCCCCTCTCCTCCCCACTCCCTCCCACTCCCCTTCCCCCACTGGCCCTCTTCTCTCTCTCCTTGTTCCCACGCCTTTGCTTCCCCACTCTCCTTCTTTCCTCTTCCCCCCTCTCCTTGCAGCACCACGGACGCCCACAAGCTAGCAATCGAGAAGTCCAAGTTCCTGGGAGGAGACGTGGAGCACACGCATCTGGTGAAGGGGCTGGACTATGCGCTTCTCAACAAAGTGCGCTCGGAAATGAAAGGCCGTCCGGGGGAGAGGGGAGGGGAGGGAGAAAAGGAGGAGGGAGAAGAGGAGGACGAGGAGGAGGGTTCTGCTGCTGCTGCTGCGGCTGCTGGGAAGGCCAAGGGCAGGTGAGGGGTGAGGGGTATGTGTAGTGGGTATGGGTGGTGGGTTGTGTGGTGGATATGAGTGTGCTTTGAAGGGGGCTGGACTATGCTCTGCTCAACAAAGTGCGCTCGGAAATGAAAGGCCGTCCAGGGGAGAGGGGAGGGGAGGGAGAAAAGGAGGAGGGGGGAGAGGAGGACGAGGAGGAGGGTTCTGCTGCTGCTGCTGCGGCCAAGGGCAGGTGAGGGGTGAGGGTTGAGGTGTGAGCTGTTTGCGTGTGTGTGTGTGTGTGTGTGTGTGTGTGTGTGTGTGTGTGTGTGTGTGTGTGTGTGTGTGGTGACTTGTGAATCTATTTAGCACCGGCCGCTGTTTCTTTCACATGAGAGATTCCTTTGCTCTTAGAAGCATCCTTCCTTGGGCTCTGTTTTCTGGCTCTTCCTCTGCTCTGTAAATCTGCAGGAAAGCGCGAGAGAACGTACCCACATTTCACTACGCCTGAGACGATTTTTGAGGCACCTAAAAACTCCTCTGCCTGTGCTCTCTTGATTTGCAGGAAAGCGCAAGAAAAAGTGCCCACATTCCGCTCGGCCTTGACAAAAAAAAAAATCTCTGCCTCTGCCACTGTTTTTCTCTTAATCTGCACTGCAGGAAAGCGCAAGAAAAAGTGCCCACATTTCGATCGGCCCTGGCTCGAGTAAGTCACTCATTCCTTGTGTGCAACGGTTTGGGGGTTGGGAACTGTGAAGGACTTGCATTTGGGAAAAAGTGCCCACATTTCAAGCGACGCACGGCTTCCCCATCCCACCCACCCGCTACCCTACCACAGCTTCGTATTGCCCTGTGTTGCATTTCCTTTGTGAGGCAACGTTCAGGGAGAAGCTTTTCGCATGCCTTTCCATCCATCTCGCATGCCTTTCCATCCATCCGCATTCCTTCCATTGCCTCCCATTCATGCTATTCTACCCATCCCATTCATCCTCTCCTCCCCTCCTTTCAAATCTGGTGTTTGAGTCTAATCCTCTCCCCCCCTTCTCCCCCTTCTCCCCCTTCTCCCCCCCTTACCCCTCGCCCCTACAGTCGATATTCGAGCAGATAGTCCGCCCGGTGGCGCTCAAGCTGCTTTTGAGCATTCCTTAAAAGCTCAATTCTTAAAAATGAGTTCGGTACATCCCATTCCCCCCCCACCCCCCTCCCCTTCACCCTTACAGTCAGTTTTCGAGCAGATAGTCCGCCCGGTGCCGCCCAAGCCAAACGAGTTCTTCCTGCCGGGCCGCACGTCGTTTGTCTTTGACATGGACGACGAGTTTCGGAATGAGATCCCCACCACTGTCCACCGCAGCAAGGCCGACTGCCCTGCTCCCCAGGTACGTGTCAGTTTCTTTCGGATGTGTAGGGGCACTCCCTGCCAGCATGGGATGTATGCAGATGCACTGCTCTGTTTGTCTTTGACATGGACGACGAGTTTCGGAATGAGATCCCCACCACCGTGCACCGCAGCAAAGCTGACTGCCCTCCTCCTCAGGTGAGGGTGCTTGAGCGTGGTGAGGTGAGATGCATGCTGATGCATGCATTCAGATGCAGTGTTCCGTTTGTCTTTGACATGGACGATGAGTTCCGCAGCGAGATCCCCACCACTGTCCACCGCAGCAAGGCCGACTGCCCGCCTCCCCAGGTATGTGTCAGTTTCTTTCGGATGTGTAGGGGCACTCCCTGCCCGGGGAATGAGCATGGGATGTGTGCAGATGCAGTGTTCCGTTTGCCTTTGACATGGACGATGGGTTTCGGAGTGAAATCCCCACCACCGTGCACCGCAGCAAGGCCGACTGCCCGCCTCCGCAGGTACGTCTTGCTTCCTCGTATATATGGATGTGTAAGTGCACTCCCTGCCTGTTTGTCTTTGACATTGATGACGAGTTCCGGAGCAAAATTCCCACCACTGTTCACCACCGCAGGTGAACAAGACTGGATGCTGTTAGTGTTTATTTTTTCTGATGTTTTTTTGTTCAATTTAGTCATTTTATGTCTAGCGTGTGGAGGATGAATCATGTAGTAGCGTCCCGTGAGGTATCGCCAGTCCCTATCCTTTTCCTTCCCTCATCCTCCTAATCCTCTCCACCTTCCTCATCTTCCCCTCTCCCTCCCTCCCACTCGGTCACTCCACGGGACCTCGTATCCGCGTCCTTGGATGCCCCAGTGTTGAGGAACATCATCCTGAGGTGACTTTTGAGTCGACTCAAAAGTCTTTGGATGCCCCAGTGTTGAGGAACATCATCCCAATAAATCCGTGTCTTTGGATGCCCCAGTGTTGAGGGACATCATCCCGAGGTGACTTTTGAGTCGACTCAAAAGTCTTTGGATGCCCCAGTGTTGAGGAACATCATCCCAATTCCCTCTCCTTTCTCTACCCTCACCCTCTCAGCCTTCATCCTTTCTCCCCTCCCACTCACTCTCTTCACCGGACCTGGTATCCGCGCCTTTGGATGCCCGTGCATTGGACAATGCATGGTGAGTCCTCCAGTCAATCCTTTCCCTCTCTGTCGATTTCCACCCCGTCTCCCCTTTCTTACTCCCCCCCTTTCTCCCCACCCACTCACTCACCCCACAGGACCTGGTATCCGCGGCACAGGATGCCCCAGTGCTGGATAGAGTGACCCACGTCATCTCGTACCTACGACTGGGATCAAGCGCAAAGGTACGGTGCCTTTCTCTTCATGCAAGAATATAACAGGACCTGGCGTCTGTGTCCTTTGAGTCGACTAGAACAGCACAGGACGCCCCAGTGCTGGATAGAGTCACCCACGTCATCTCATACCTACGACTGGGATCAAGCGCAAAGGTACGGTGCCTTTCTCATGCAATAGGTGCAACTTCACAGGACCTGGCGTCTGTGTCTTTTCAGTCACTATGGCGATTGCATGGGGCAGGCAGCAACGCTAGCTACTGGCAGCAAGTGGATAGAGTCACCCACCCACGTCATCTCGTACCTGCGGCCTGCACGTACTCGCAGGGTACCTACGTATGTGTGCATGTTAGATGCGGTTTAGCTTGTGTTGGCACTCCCGCCGTCCCTCTCCTCTCTTTGTTACATGTGACCAACAGTTCTGTTTGGTTGTTTGTTTGTTTGATTTATTTTTTTGTTCTTTTGTTGTTCCTTGTGTTCTCCATAGTACCATTTCCCTCACTCCCTCCCTCCCCGAATCCGATTTGTTTTTTTCTTTCTGTTCGATTATGGCATTACAGGCACACAAGAAGAAGAAAAAAGACAAGGATAGCAACAGGGGTATGGCCACGGTGCTCTAGTCTTCACATATTCAGAGTTCCGCTAGCTATCGACATTCCAAACTGTTGCTCAACTCTTGAGGCGCCTCAAAAGTATTCTTTTATCCCGCAAGTTCCGCTAGGTAGCAACATTCCAAATTGTTGCTCGACTCTTTCTCTACCTCCTTTCTCCCTTCCTCCCTCCTTCTCCAGTCCTTTTTCGGGTATTCTTCCTCCCAAGCCTTCTCAGCACTCAACCAACCTCTTTTAATTGTTTGTGCCCTCCCCCTCTTTCCTTCCTCTCTCCCCCACTCTCTTCCTCTCTCTCCCTCCCTCTGCAGTCCTGGTTCCTGGTATTCTTCCTCCCAAGCCCTCTCAGCCGTCAGCCGACCTCCCATCCTCCCAACCTGCCGCACGAACTGAAGCTGCTGCTGAAAATTGTGGCGCTGCTGCTGGTAATGCTGGTGGGAATAGCGGCATCACAAATGGGACTGGCAGCAGCGGCGGTGGCAGGAAGAACAGGAAGGAGGCAGCAGCAGCAGCAGCAAAAGCCGCTGCCACAGAAGCAGCAGCAGCAGCGCCTAAGAAGAAGAAAGAGGAAGAGGAGGAGGATGATGATGATATTTTTGCAGATGTGGGGAAGGATTACACAGTCACTGCTAAGCCTAGAGCACCTGCTGCTGCTGACTCTGGTGCTGCTGCAGGAGTCTCAGCAGCAACAGCAGTAGCAGGTGCACCAGGAGCATCTGGTGCTTCTGCAAGTGCTTCTCGCCCTGCTTACTTTGACGTGCCGAGCGGTATTGCGGAAGCGGTCGCACATGCCGCCGCTGCTGCCGCCGCCGCTGCTGGTGCTGCTGCTGCTCTGCCCCCGCCTCCCCCACTGCTCCCACCTGCTGTTGATGATGCGGATATGGATATGGATGACGACGATGGTGCCATGCCTCCTCCTCCTCCGCCGCCTCCACTCCCACATGACATGGTAAGACCTTTGTTTCCATTTGTTTCTCCACCTTCGCCCCCCTCGTGCTGCTCTGCCCCCGCCTCCCCCACTGCTCCCGCCTGCTGCTGCTGACGATGCGGATATGGAGATGGATGCCGATGATGGTGCCATGCCTCCTCCTCCTCCCCCGCCTCTCCCACATGACATGGTACGAACTGGTTTGTTCTTTTCCGCTTCTTCTCCTCACATGGTACGAACTCGTTTGTGTTTTTCCGCTTTTTCTCCTCACATGGTACGGCCTTCTGCCCTCTTGTGCTCCTCTGATCCACCGCTCGCTTCCTCCGTCCAGTGCTTTTGCCTCCCGCGCGTACTGCCTCTGCTGACTTTTGAGTCGACTCAAAAGTCGCTCGCTTCCTCCGTCCAGTGCTTTTGCCTCCCGCGCGTACTGGCTCTGCTTCCTCCCGTTTTTGCAGGTGGCCCCGGCCTACCCACCAGCAGACGGCTCACGGGAAGACTACCCCACCAACTCCGGCTCCACCCCCCCGTGCATTGAGGTGTATTTTGAGGCGCCTCAAAAAACTATCCCACCAACTCCGGCTCCACCTCCCCTTCTCTGTGCCCCCCACTCTCACACTCACTTGCCCCCCTCCTTCCTTTCGTCTCTCTTCTGTCCCTTCTTGCAGGTCGGACCAGCCTATCCGCCAGCAGACGGCTCGTGGGAAGACTACCCACTCCCTCCTCCTCTTCCTCCTCCTCCCGGCGCCCCCGCAACCCTCCCTCCCTGGCCCCCTTCTGTCCCGCCTCCAGCCCCCCCACCATCCGCCTATCCCTACCACCAACAATACCCTCCTGCCCCTCCTCCTCCCCTTCCTCCCCATTCTGCCCCTCACTATCCCGGCTTAACCCCTCCTCCTCCTCCTCCTCCTCTTCCCCCCGGTCAACACTACCCGTATGGGGGAGGAGGAGAGGGGGGGTACCCGCCTCCTCCTCTTCTCCCCCCTGGAGTCTACCCACCTTCCCATCTTCCTCCTCCTCCCCCTGCTGCTTCCGCTGCCGGCCCCCCGTTTCCTCCTCCTCCTGCTGTCGCGCCTACTGAATCTGGTGCTACTGGCACTTACCTAACAGAAGAGGAAAAAGGCCGGGGTTTGGCGTCGGTGTTTAAGAGATTCACTCCAGAGGAAGAGGAGGCGAGGAGGCGGGAGGGGAGGGGAAGAGTGGGAGAGGGGAGGGAGAAAGGGAGGGATCCGAATGCCCTGGGGGGAGGGGGGTATGACGAGTGCTATCAGCGGGGGGATGGGGGGAACTTTGCAGGAGAGGTTGTGGAGAGTGACGAAGAGGAGGGTGATGAGCTCGCTCGGAAAGTGGAAGAAGCTAGGCAGGTGAGTGCTTTGAAAGGGACTTGCTGTTCTGATTTGTGTTGCGATGCGTGGGCGGGTCAAAAGGGTCAAAAGGGTCAAAAGGGTCAAAAGGGTCAAAAGGGTCAAAAGGGGTGACGCAGCAGGCCACCTCCTCTAGACCCTTTTGACTATGAGGAGGTGACTTCAAAACGCAGCAGGCCACTGTTGTCATCTTTGTTTTGAAGTCACCTCCTCTTAGTCAAAAGGGTCTAGAGGCTGTTCCGGAAGATGACAAAGAGGAGGTGACTTTTGAGTCGACTCAAATCAAAAGTCGCCTTGTTTTATGAGGTTTTTGTGGAGAGTGACAAAGAGGAGGGTGATGAGGTTGCTCGGAAAGTGGAAGAAGCGAGGCATCTCAGTGTCTTGAAGGGGCTTCTGTTGTGAATCTTCTTTTGAGGGCCGTGAGTCTAAAGGACTAGGAAACGGGACAGAGAGGCCGTATTCCTCCTTTATCTAACCCCCTCCCCCTTCACCCTCTCCCCCCAATCCACCAGTTGGCTCAGGTACAGGACATGTTTCATGGGGATGAGGATGATGAGGATGGTGCTGGTGCTGGTGCATCTAAGGACAAGGAAAGGGACAGAGAGGCCGCATTCCCCCCCTTGTCCATCCCTCCAACCTCCCTTTTTCCTGCATTTGCATCCACCAGTTGGCTCAGGTGCAGGACATGTTTCATGGGGATGAGGATGATGAGGATGGTGCTGGTGTTGCTGGTGCATCAAAGGACAAGGAAAGGAACTGCATCCTTCTCACTTCCCGTCCCACCTTCTCACCCCTCCCCCACCCCCTCCCACTTTACCAGTTGGCTCAGGTACAGGACATGTTTCATGGGGATGAGGATGATGATGACGATGAGGACGATGCTGGTGCTGATACCTATGCATCTCTCCCACTCCCCCACTCCCAATCCACCAGTTGGCTCAGGTGCAAGACATGTTTCATGGGGACGAGGATGATTGATGGTGCCGGTGCTGATACCTGTGCATCTCTGCCACTCCCCCACTCCCCAATCCCACTCCCACCAGTTGGCTCAAGTACAGGACATGTTTCACGGGGACGAGGACGATGATGACGATGAGGATGGTGCTGGTGCATCCAAGGACAAGGAACGGGACAGAGAGGCAGCAGAGAAGGGCACAGGCGGGGGCAGGAGGTCGAAGCAGGGGCAGGAGGGCGAGGGGAGGAAGGGGCGGAAGAAGGAGAAGGATCGGCAGCAGAAGCTGAACAATGAGCTGAATCAGATCAACAAGATTATTGAGAGGAAGAAAAGGGAAGCGGCTGGAGAGGTGGTGGAGGAGGAGGAGTATGGGGATGAGGATGGAGGAGGGCCGTATAAGAAGTCCCGATACTAGGCACGTAGCAGGGAGGGGGAGGAGGAGGAGGAGTATGGGGATGAGGATGGAGGAGGGCCGTATAAGAAGTTCCGGTACTAGGCACGTAGCAAGGAGGGGGAGGAGGAGAAGGAGCAGAACCAGAGGCTGAGTGGTGGGGCAAGAGGAGTATGGTGATGGGAGTATGGGGATGGGAGTATGGGGATGGGAGTATGGGGATGGGAGTATGGGGATGGGAGTATGGGGATGGGAGTATGGGGATGGGAGTATGGGGATGGGAGTATGGGGATGGGAGTATGGGATGGGAGTATGGGGATGGGAGTATGGGGATGGGAGTATGGGGATGGGAGTATGGGGATGGGAGTATGTGGATGGGAGTATGGGGATGGGAGTATGGGGATGGGAGTATGGGGATGGGAGTATGGCGATGGGAGTATGGGGATGGGAGTATGGGGATGGGAGTATGGGGATGAGCATGGAGGATGGCCAAGAAGTCCCGATATTAGCATGTAGCAGGCGGAAGGAGAATTGTGTTGTGAGATGAAGTGGCTGGCTGGTAGAGAGGAAGAGGGAGGGAGTTGTTGTGTGAGGCCGCCGGGGGGGTGACGGGGAGTTGAAATGGAAGGTGGTGGGGTGGGTGAGGTGGTTGGGTGGGAGGAGTACGGTATGCCCTTAAAAGGAGTTTGGCTGGTGGTTCGCGTGGATAGGAAGGGAAGGGAGGACGGGTTGTTCCACCCGTGTGAAAGGCGGGACGGTGATAGTGCGCTTTCTTGGAATTCTATCTTCATCAGTCTATCTAGGCTGTTGCTATTCATTGGCATGCTGCTTTGTGAGTGCCAGATTTTATTTTTCAGTATATTTTCTTCTGATATCATGCTGTGAGAACGGGATGCTTGTTTGATACATACGGTGAATGCCGGTCGAACCTTCTCAGACTGGTAAGGTAAACACTAACCATGTTCTGTCCATCTAATGCTGACAAACTAACACCCTCGACGCCCCTGCTCTAACATCAACATTCCAAACACATCACTGAACTTTCTGTATCCCTCAGCTTTGCTGCAAGAATCAAGAGCTTTACTTCTGAGTCGACTCAAAAGACTCGAGAGCTTTAGACAGTGGTAGCTCCCACCCCCTCCCCTCCACCTCCCCCTCCTGTTGCTGCTGCTGCTGCTGCTGCTGCTGCAAGTTGCCGTTCCCGCCGCTCCCTTGCTCTCGCAGCGCCCGCTTTCCATCTCGCCCGTCTCTCCTCAGCCCGTCTCTCCTCAGCCCGTCTCTCCTCAGCCCGTCTCTCCTCAGCCCGTCTCTCCTCAGCCCGTCTCCCCTCATCCCGTCTCTCCTCATCCCGTCTCCCCTCATCCCGTCTCTCCTCATCCCGTCTCTCCTCATCCCGTCTCTCCTCATCCCGTCGCTCCATATCCCTCAACCTTGCTGCAAGGCTCAAGAGCTTTAGACAGTAGCTCCCACCCCTTCCCCTCCCCTTGTTCCTGCTCCTGCTGCTGCTGCTGCTAGTTGCCTCTCCCGCCACTCCCTTGCTCTTGCAGCGCCAGCCTTCCATCTCGCCCGCCTCTTCTCATCTCTTCGCTTCAAAGCCTCCTTCTTCTGCTCCTTCACTTTCTGCCACTGCTCCTGCTTGCCACAAGAGGGTGGATGATCAGCGATGGGAGAGAGAGGGCATGGGAGAGAGAGGGCATGGGAGAGTGGATGAGAGCACAGACATCCACTTGATGTGTCCCTCTACCTTCCGTCGCTTCAGAGCCGCCTTTTTCTGCTCCTTCACCTTCTGCCGCTGCTCCTGCTTGCGTCAATGGAAGATGGGATAAGGAGAAGTGGGAGAGGGCAGGGAAAAGCGGTTGAACCTACAGCCTTCCATCTCGCCTGTCGCTCAGCATCTCATCTCAAGCCTCCTTCTTTTGCTCCTTCACCTTCTGCCACTGCTCCTGCTTTGCAACAAATGGAGAGCAGGGGAAGGACACGGAGATGAAAACCTCGAACTTTCCTTCAAACATCTTTGTACCAGTGCCTACACCCAACCACTAACCCACCCAATCCCCCCCTCCTTCCCCCACTCACCCATCCACGCACCCACCCACGCATCCACCCACCAACCCCAACTTATCTAAAAAAAATGCTGGCATTGCAGCATGCGCCTCCTTTGGTTCCTGCCTCCCACGCTGCCAGAATTGGGCTGCAACACTCCCACCCACCCATGCACCCACCCACCCATGCACCCATCCACTCACCCATGCAACTCCATCCCCTCTCCCCCACCTTCCCCATCCACCCACAAACCCACCTTGATGAACAGCTGGCGCTGCCTCATGCGGTGCCTCTGGTTCCTGCCGCCCACGCTGCCAGCATTGGGCTGAGACGCTGGCACCCACTCAACCACTCCCAGCACCCACCAGCCCACCCACCCACCCACCCAACCCAACCCAACCCAACCCAACCCAACCCAGCCCAGCCCAACCCAACCCAACCGAAATTAACCACCAACTCTTGCATCCCGCCTCCCCCCACACAACCACAAACGCACCTTGACGAACAGCTGGCGCTGCAGCATGCGGTGCCTCTGGTTCCTGCCGCCCACGCTGCCAGCATTGGGCTGAGACGCTGGCACCTGCTCTGCTCCCTGTGGCACCTTCACCATCACCCAGGGGTCTGTTGCATGGGTTACGGGTGTGGGGAGGGGAGGGGTAGGGGGGGGGGGGGGGGGGTTGGGGGGTTGGGGGGGGTGGAGAGCGGCAGGAGAGGAACTTGCAGGCGCGGAAGGGACGCATGCTAGCAATGGGCTGAGACACTGAGACACTGATATCTCCTCTGCTCGATTGGGTTGACTTTTGAGTCGACTCAAAAGTCAACTTGCAGGCGCAGAAGGGAAACATGCTAGCAATGGGCTGAGACACTGATATCTCCGTGATAAAAGTAGCGTTTTGAGACGTCTCAAAACACCGCTTTTATCAGTGGGCTGAGACACTGATACACTGAGACACTGACATCTCCGTGATAAAAGTAGTGTTTTGAGACGTCTCAAAACACCACTTATCAGTGGGCTGAGACACTGATACACTGAGACACTGATACCTCCGTGATAAAAGTAGTGTTTTGAGATGTCTCAAAACACCACTTTTATCAGTGGGCTGAGACACTGATACACTGAGACACTGATATCTCCGTGATAAAAGTAGTGTTTTGAGACGTCTCAAAACACCACTTTTATCAGTGGGCTGAGACAGTGATACACTGAGACACTGATATCTCCGTGATAAAAGTAGTGTTTTGAGACGTCTCAAAACACCACTTTTATCAGTGGGCTGAGACACTAATACCCTGAGACACTGAGACATTGATACACTGAGACACTGATACACTGATACACTGATACTCTGATACACTGAGACACTGATACACTGAGACACTGAGACACTGAGACACTGATACACTGAGACACTGATACACTGAGACACTGATACACTGAGACACTGATACACTGAGACACTGATACACTGAGACACTGATATCTCCTCTTCTCGCTTGGGCGGCAAACATATTGGCAGACGCTGGAAGGAATCTAAGCGAATGATTCCTCCCCGCCGTTCAGATTAGCTCCTTATCCGGGGAGTGTAATTTCCCCATTCGCTCACTTTACTCCCCCATCCGCTTACCTCCGCGCCACTTCTTCGCTCGCTTAGCAAATCCACGCGCTATAACGAGCCGCGACGCGCTGATGGGTTCATACACCGCCACGTGTTGCTGACTAGGCGCGGGAGCAAGTCCACGTGTCAAGAGGGACTGTGCTAGTGGAGAGGAGGTGCAGAATGACCTAGACGAGACTGCGGCCGGCGAATAGTGCGGAGGAGATCGCGGCGACGATTGCGGCGGCGGTTGAGGCGAGAGGCTTGAGAAAAATGAGGTGAACCGAGAAACGGAATGGCTGTTGCTGAATGCAGCGGCGGCAGCGGCGGTGGTGGCGGTGGCGGTGGTCGGAATGTAGATGAGAGAGACGAACGGCGTAGATGCGCTAGCGCCAACGGCGGGGAGGTATGAGGACTGGAACGCACGGCAGAATCGCGACGCGAGCGATCCGCCGCCTCCTCGCATCTTGACAGGCGGCACGGACGCAGGAGATGCCGACGCTCAGATCGTCGCTCAGCTGTTGATGACCGTCAGTCTATTTGTCTTGATGCAAGGAAAGGGCGACTGGGAGGTCAAAACCTGTTGTGTTTTTGAGGCAAAATATATAAACTTGATGGTCGTCATTAGCAACGTCTGAAAATCGTATGTAGCCAGAGCACTATGTTACAGCGAATCAGACAATTGCGGTCTAACATCTGACGTGAACCCTGGAACTCGAGAATGGACTGGGCAGAAATAAGTTTGTTTTCCCAAGTCGCGGGCAAGGAACAGGTTCAGTCTTGAAGGCTCGCAGACTTCAATCCCCACGACTTCGCATTTGCGTGCTGCCCCAACGTTTCCAAACCTCCATTCACGTTTCCTGCTTGCGCAAATTTCTTGGAGCCAATCTCAAACACGGCTCATGCCCGATTGGTTACGCCATCCCACGCCGCCAACGTGCTAGGCTTGCTTTACGAACCTCGGTTTTGTCGATCTGGTTCCCAGAGGCTCGGGTACCGGACTGAACCAGGCTGCTGGTGCGAAATATCCCGCCAGAACCGTGTCGAAGCTGAGCCCAGGCTGTGCCGAAGCTATTTCACCTAACCAACAACCTCCATTTTCCTTGCCTATCTTTCTGACACCCTTCTCCAGCTAGTTGAGTTCGTAGCAGATGCATTGAATACTGGGCCTCCTGAAATAGTTTGCTCTGCAGAAGCAGTTCGCTTCCACGTTGAGTTTTCTGCCAGTCGGTTCCGCTTTTGGTTGCATGTCGACTCTGCCTGGCGTTCGTTTTGGGTTTCGCGGAGCCTTGCGTCGCGATAGGCAGGGTTTCTCATTTGTTTGACGCGGTCAAACCGTTGTGGTAGTGTGCCGGAGTGTCAGTATGCCAAGTTGTTACACGTTATTCAGTCTGGTCATCTAGGTTTTTTACCGACCAGGTTTTTTGTTCTAAAGCTTTTAGAAATTAGGCTTACAAGTCTCAACTTCAATCATGGCGGTAGACACAACTAGAGAAAGAGCGTTGCAGAAGCGGATTAAGGAACTGGAAGCAGGTTAGTTTCTCTTATAGCCGATGGTTTCCAGTCCCTTTTCCTTCTCTTGGCAGTGAAGAGGAAACAAACAGGTTATGCTGAACGTAAAGTAGGTCTTGCATATCTAGCACTTGTGCGTTCCATTTTTTTTTCTTTCATTGTGGCTCTAACCGTCCTCTTGTAGCTTCTTTCTCGTTTCGCCTCTTCTCACCGCTTCAGAACGAAAGCCTTCCTGCTCACGCTCTTCATACATAAATCCTGATCCTTGCTTCCGCCGTTTCCCCGTTCAACTCCTACCACATCGGTCGTACGCGTGGCAGAGCGCGATGAGCTTCAGAGAGACCTGGAGGGGATGTGTCTGCAGCAGGTGGGGAGTGCCGGAGCCGAAGACGCCATGGCTCGCATGCAGGCCAGAAGGTGAGCCGCAAGTTGAAGGGAGAGAGAGAAAAAAAACCAAGTAAGGAAGGAAAAAATAAGAAGAAAAAAAAAACGAGTACTGGGAGTTGCAACGAATGGGCTCGATATTCAAGAGAGGGTGACACGGAGACTGATGATCCTACTTGTAACAGGATTGCGTGTTACATATTGTTGTAACACGACTGTATTATCAAGGCTGTTAAAAAGATGGTGGAAGGGGAGGAAACCCTCTGTTTCTTTCAAATTCCGCTGTGGGTGGACAACGTTTCTGTGCAGCTTGTAACAAAAATCATCTGTTCCATTCAACCTCTGTTACGATCATTCCGTCATTTCCCGGTTCTTGCGTTTTCAGGGTGGCCAACCTAGAAGCGGAGCTTGCCACGTGTCGCCACACGATTGCGTCGTTGGAGATGGAAATCGCGGACGTGCGGCATGACCTGCAGGACGCGGAGCAGAAGAAGGTGCGGGATGGGACAGTGACCCTCGTTTTTTGTCTGTCATATTTGACGTTTTAAAATGTCTTCATCAACCTTCTCTGCCATGCCGTTTGCCTGTTGCTGGTTCTTGCAGGCAGGAGCTGCGGCCATGTGGAAGGAGGAACACAGCAAGGTGCGTTTCTCAATGGTTCATTGAATGACAGGGCTGCACGTAGCTGGGAAGGACAGGGCATGGCAGGGCATTGGAGTATATGGCATGGTATGAGGCGGCATGGCATGAGGTGGCATGGCATGAGGTGGCATGGCATGAGGTGGCATGGCATGAGGTGGCATGGCATGAGGTGGCATGGCATGAGGTGGCATGGCATGATGTGGCATGACATGAGGTGGCATGGCATGAGGCGGCATGGCATGAGGTGTCATGGCATGAGGTGGCATGGCATGAGGTGGCATGGCATGAGGTGGCATGGCATGCTGTCTGCTGGTGCTGATGGCCCGTTACATCCCATGCGGTGGAAAACATTTTTTCTAGAATAAGACGCGCCCACCCGAGACTTTGGAGCTGGATCAGCTGAGAACGGCCAAGGCGGAGGCAGAGGCACTAGGGCACTAGGGCACAACCCCCGCGCCAGGGCACCACCCCGTGACTCTCTCTGCCATCCGTTTCTTCCCACCGTTGGCCCCACCCACCCGTTTCCTCTCTCCTTCCCTCCCCACGTGCGTCCTTTCCCGTTTCAGCGGACAGCAGCAGAGGAGGAGGTGCGGTTTTACCAGCGACAAGCAGCCACAGCTTTGGAGCAGCGAGACCAAGTGACTCTGGAGCTGGAGCAGCTGAGAACCGCCAAGGCGGACGCAGAGGCGCGAGCCAAGGGGGAGATAGAGCAGCTGCGGAAGGAGAAAGCGAGTGCTGCTGAGAAAAGCAGAGCCGAGATTGATAAGCTGATGAAGGAGAAGTGGGATTTGCTAGAGAGGGTGAAGGAGGCGGGTAGGCATGCTGCGGCGTTGGTTAAGCAGCAGGAGCTGGCGGATGAAAAGATTGAGGAGGCGGAGAGGGGGAGGCGGGAGGCGGATAGGGGAAGGGAGGAGGCGGAGAGGGAGAGGGAGGAGGAGAGGAGGGAGAGGGAGAGGGTGGAGGGGGAGAGGGAGGAGGAGAGGAGGGAGCGGGAGAGGGTGGAGAGGGAGAGGGAGGAGGAGAGGAGGGAGAGGGAGAGGGTGGAGAGGGAGGGGAAGGAGGAGGAGGGGAGGTTGAGGGAGGAGATAAGGAGGGAGAGAGAGGAGGGAGCGAGGTTGAAAGAGGAGGTGGGGAGACTGAAGGAGGAGGTGGAGAGGAGGAGGAACGGTGCGAGGGAGTGGGAGGCGATGGGGAGGGAATCAGAGGGGCAGGTGACTCGTGCAAAAGCGGAAGCAGCATCGATAGCTGCAGCAGCTGCTGCTGCGGTGGAGGCAGAGCGAGAGAAAGGGTTGCGGGAGAGGGAGGAGATGCACAAACGACTGATGGAAGTGCAGAGGCAGCTGGAGAGAGAGCGGGAGGAGAGGAGGAGGAGGGGAGGTGGAGGAGGAGGTGGAGGAGAAACGGGAACGGCCAGGACGCCTAAGAACATACCACAAGGAAGGCTGGCTGAGGAACGTTCCCCGAAGGACCCAAACCTGGATAATCTGGAGGACAAGGATTTTTTTTCCAGCAAGGGTTTCTTAGCTTATGGCAAGGACCCATATGAGACTCCGAAAGACCCGTATGGGGCATCAAAGGACTCGTATGAGGCATCTAGGGATCCGTATGGGGAGGAGCCGACAGAGGAGATGTTGTCCCAGGCGATGAGGGAGAAGGTGCAGGCGCTGGTGATGCTGGCCGCGGAGGAGGAGCGGCATTTGCGGGACTCGCAGCTGGTGGGGAGCCTGAGAGAGACCATTGCTGGGCTGAACGCCACTCTGGGGCAGGTGAGAACTGGGGCAGGTGAGAACTGGGGCAGGTGAGAACTGGGGCAGGTGAGAACTGGGGTAGGTGAGAACTGGGGCAGGTGAGAACTGGGGCAGGTGAGAACTGGGGCAGGTGAGAACTGGGGCAGGTGAGAACTGGGGCAGGTGTGAACTGGGGCAGGTGTGAACTGGGGCAGGTGAGAACTGGGGCAGGTGTGAACTGGGGCAGGTGTGAACTGGGGCAGGTGTGAACTGGGGCAGGTGTGGACTGGGATAGGTGTGAACTGCGATAGGTGGATTGAGTGGCGCAGCAGTGGAGCGAGGAGGTAATATCTCCTCTACGCTTGCTCTTGTTTTCACTACCTACTCCCAGGTGAGAGCAGAGAAGGTGAAGGGGCGGTGATGCAGCTTTGCAGACACGGCATCAGATTGACGAAATGCTAACCTGGTGTCTGTCTCTCTGTGTGTGTCTTTTGAGTCGACTCAAAAGTCTTCCTCTATCCTACTCTTGCCTGTTACCAGGTGACCGCAGAGAAGGTGAAGGCGCTGATGCAGCTGGCGGACACGGCAGCAGAGGCACAGCAGCTGAGGGACGAGATGGCAGCGCTGCAGCAGGAAGTGCGGAAGCGAGACGAGATCATCGCCAGAGAGTGAGTCCCTTGTTTTGGCGATGTTGAGAGCAGGGTTTAGGGGGGAGTAAGGAAACAAGCACCTGTGGGAAGTGCGGAAGCGAGACGAGATCATCGCCAGAGAGCAAGTCCCTTTTTAGATTTTTTTGTGATCTTTGCCTCTTCCTCGCTCTTCCCCGTCTCCTCCTCGGTTTTTTTTTTTCCTTTTTTTTTTTTTTTTAATCCATGGAATCGAGGTGAGGTCATTGCGAGAGTATTTTCCCTCCAACTCCCATCTCACTCAACCTCCCTCATCCCCGTCTCCTCCTCCCCTCCTCCCTCTTCCTACCTCTCCAACCCCCCTGATCCCCCACCTCCCACCACCTCCCCTGCCGCTTCGCCCTCTGATCCCAACCTCCCCCCTCGCCTCCCTGCCGCACCTTGTTCACGTGTCTGCTTCTCGACACCTCCTCTACCTTCCCCGTTGCCCCCACCTCCCTCCCCTGGCAGAGCGCGGAGACAGCAGGAGTCTGGTCTGCCGGGTCAGAGAGCACCATGATTCCCGCCCTCTGGTCCTCCTCGCCCTCCCACGACCCTTTGCCCCCTCTTTTACTTCTCATTTTTTAAGCAGACTTCTTTCCCTCCCCTCCTCTCCCCCGCCCACCCCCATCCCACCCACCTCCACCTTCCACCAGCTCCCTCCCTTGGCAGAGCGCGGAGACAGCAGGGGTGTGGTCTGCCGGGTCAGAGAGCACTATGATTCCCGCCCTCTGCTCCTCCTCGCCCTCTGCTCCTCCTCGCCCTCTGGTCCTCCTCGCCCTCTGCTCCTCCTCGCCCTCTGGTCCTCCTCTCCCTCCCACGACCCACGCTCCTCCATTTCACACCCACTTCCCCCCTTCCACCCCCCACCCCCCAGCTCCCTCCCCTGGCAGAGTGCGGAGACAGCTGGAGTCTGGTCCGCTGGCTCAGAGAGCACCATGATTCCCGCCCTCTGGTCCTCCTCGCCTTCCCACGACCCGTTTGACAGCAGCGCTGGCTCCGAGTATGGGGGGCTTGGAGGGGCGGGTGAGGGAAGAGCAGTGGGGGGCGGCGGGGGTGTGTATGGCGGCATGATGGCTATGGGAGGGGGGTTGCAGGGGCTGTACGGAGCAGCAGGAGGGGGAGGGGGAGGGGGAGGTGGAGGGGGAATGGGGACAGGGGTTATTGACGTGCCACAGTATTCAATGCAGTATCAGAATCAGAATCAGAATCAGAATCAGTTTAACAGCCGGTCGCCGGGTTTTGGGAGGAATTTTGTGCCTCCTCCTTCGATCAACGTGAGCCGGTCGCGACAAAGCTCCTTCCACTCGGAAAGCAGCTTTGGAATGGGCGGAGGAGGAGGAGGCGGAGGGGGAGGAGGAGGGGGAACGGGGGGGGGAGCAGGCCCAGGGTCAGCAGGGGCAGCACCAGCAGGATTCTCCATATTCGGTCTCTTTAGGGGTGTCGGGGGGAGGGGTACAGGGGGAGGTGCGACTGGGGCAGGCGGGGGAGGGGGAGGCGGAGGGGGGGGAGGGATAGGGGGAGGAGGGGGAAGCGGGGGATCGTCGGCGTATCTGACGAATGGGAGCAGCAGGGGGAGCACTCCTAGGGGCGAGATGGAGAGGGAGAGAGAGAGGGTGACCCCATCAGTGGTGGCGAGACTAAGGGTGGATATAGCAGCTCTTGAAGAGGCTCTTGCAACAATTGAGCAGATCGCACAAACCTCCTCTGAAATGCGCTCGTCCCTCGCTCAGGTGAGTGTCTGTCCTTGAGAAGGCGTGGTTTATGGCCGAGAGAGTGACGCCTAGAGGGTGGCGCCGTCGGTGGTGGCGAGGCTGAGGGTGTGGATATAGCGGCACTAGAAGAGGCTCTGGCAACAATTGAGCAGATTGCTCAAACCTCGTCAGAAATGCGCTCGTCCCTGGCTCAGGTGATTTGCTCTACGAGAGGAGGGATTGGCCTATAGACAAGTGAGGGGGTGACGCCTAGAGGGTAACGCCGTCGGTGGTGGTGAGGCTGAGGGTGGATAAAGTGGCGCTAGAAGAGGCTCTAGCAACGATTGAGCAGATCGCACAGACTTCAGCCAACATGGGCTCGTCCCTGGCCCAGGTGCGTGGCTTTACGGGGGAAGGATGGGCTTGCCTTTAGAGGGTGCGAGGCTGAGGGTGGATAAAGCAGCACTGGAAGTGGCTTTGGCAGCGATTGAGCAGATCGCACAGACCTCGTCTGAAATGCGCCCATCTTTCGCCCAGGTGAGGTGCCATAACAGTCGAGCACCACGGAAGGAGGCAGGAAGGGGAGTTGGTGTAAAGATGTTTTTAGCATTTTTTATATCTGCTTTCCTCTCTCCAATTGCAGGGCCTGGAGCAGATTCTTTCATGCAACAAGACCAAAGAGCCGAAGAAAACTGCTGCTAGGCCGACGACTTCCTCTCTCTCGCTATTCTCGCCCTCGTCCAAGGCCCACATTCAAGCGCAAAGAAGGATCAGTGGGCTTTCTTCCTCCTCCCCCTCTGGTCACTCCAGCCAAAGCAAACAGGGCCATTTAGCCACGCGCCATCCAGCAGACAGTGCAGGTGCTGCTGCTAGTAATAACCGGGATTCTAGTGACGCAGGTGCCATCACCAGCAGCGGAAGCAGCAGCAGCAACTCGGCTTCGGCCCCTGCATCGAATGATTCGGCTATTGTTGCAGCCGGTACGGTTACTGCTTGTTTGGTTACCGCCACTACCACCACCACAACCACCATGACCACTACCACTGCCGGTGCTGCTGCAGGCACAGCTGTTACAGAGCTGAATTTGGACAAGTCTTTTTGGGCCAAAGTAGAGTCAGTTGAGGAGGAAGCACGGCAGATGAGGATAGTGTTTGGAGCAGCCGCACATTTGCCAATCAGTTGGAATGCAGGGGGGTCGGGAGGAGGGCGGATGGGTGGGGGAAGGCATGGGATACCTGCTGAGAGGGCAGGTGAGGTTGTAGCCTCGGTTGGGCTGGAAATTGCCGAGTTTGCCCTCGTGGTGGTGGGGTTGCTGCGGCCGGTGGAAAAGGGTTTCTAGGTTTGGAAATTGGGGTAACTTGTGGGTGTTAATCACTGTAGCAGCAGTGGTGGTTCAGTAAGTAACCCTAAACCATGCAGGTGGTTCTGGTCATGGTTTTAAGTAGACTGCCCTTTGGCAGTAGGGTAAATTCTGGAGTTTGCCCCTCTGGCAGCAGCAGCAGGATTGGCTCGCCCTGCCAGCAGACAACCACATGTATTTTGTTCAACTGACCAAATAGTATCTGATCTTAACAAATGTTTTAACTATATACTTAATGCTTCATAACGGGAGTATTATTTCAATGCTGTTTCGCTTTGGTGTTCCAGTGTTGCCTATATGTGAGCAACTAAGAAGGGGAGTGATTCTGCCTGGTGCAGGGACTTGCAAAACAGAGTAGCTTTGATGACTGGTAGGCTGGAAACTTGGCTGGAAAAGCTCAACAGAGCTGCTGGACTTGGCTTGATGAGAGAAAACTTCACTATGATCAAGATTAACAAGCCCACTAAAGCACAACTTCTTAAGCATTACAAACATGCAGATTGATAGCTCAAACTAGGCTGCTAGACAAGGCAACATCCTTGGGAACTTGGGCACAATTCAGATTCCATGAACCTTGAGTGACTTGAGAGCCACATGAGGTGCATGAATAAGAAATCTCTGGAATGTACTGTTATAGCTGATTCTGTTTTGTAGAAACCTGTAGAAACTGTCGACCCTTCTGTTTGAGAGCAATCCCGAACTGTATCGAGTCTTCGGCTGCAATCTGATTTGCTGCGGAAGTTTCTGAATTTTCGCGAAGCCTTCAATCCGTCGCCGACATTCTTGCTGCTCCTTGTGTGCAAAGGGCTGGGGCGGCAGAGACTCGATTCTCCAACACTCCCCCTCGCACCAGACCCGAAGCACACATACGCCCATTCTTACTCTCCTCTTACATCTCCTTGGCATACACTCCATGCTGCTGCCCATGTTGCTTCTCCTCATTCTCCTCAAACTGCTGCACTGCTTCATGAAGTGTCATGAGACCTGCTCTTGCCTTGCACATGTTGAATGCATCATGTGGAAGAACCTTAGTCATGAAGTATGCCGCTTGGTCGAATGAACGGCAAAAATTGACGGCGAGAACTCCCTTCTCTAGTTGCTCACGAATAAAATGGTACTGCACCTCGATGTGTTTTGTACGCCCATGATGAACCGGATTCTTGGAGAGGGCGATAGCTGAAGTGTTGTCCACGTAGAGCGGAGTTGGTTGAGTTTGCGGCTGCCTCAAGTCCTCCAAGAGTCCACGTAACCAAATTGCCTCCCTTGCTCCTTCGGTCATTGCTATGTACTCAGCTTCGGTTGTAGAAAGCGCCACACAACTTTGCTTGCGCGATTGCCAAGAAACAGCGGCACCGCACATAAGGAAGATATAGCCACCGGTGGACTTGCGTGTGCTCAAATCTCCCGCCCAATCTGCATCGGTAAAGCCTTGGAGGGAGCTTGCATGTGGGCTGGCTTGGAAGAGAAGACCATGATTAGAAGTACCTTTGAGATACCGAAGAGCTCGCTTGGCTGCATGCATATGGATAGGTGATGGGGCACTCATGTGTTGAGCGAGCTTGGATACCGTGAATGCTAGGTCGGGCCTTGTGCATAGGGCTGCATACATGAGACACCCAACCTGACTTTGGTAGAGAGCTAGGTCTTGTGGGGATACCTTGGTTGAATTCTCACCATGATGCTCACTCTCCTCAAGACACAACTCCTCAATACCCGTGATATCCAGGTTTGACTCTCTCTCCTCAAAGGGCTGATGTGAAGACAAAAGGACAAAGTTGGTAGGAAGTGGGGTAGGTGATGGCTTGCTATCATCAAGACCAAACCTCTCAAGGACCTTTTGGATGTACCTTTGCTGGAATAGGAAGATGGACCGTGACTTATGATCTCTCACAATGTTCATACCAAGATAATGACTCGGCTCACCAAGATCGGTCATTGTGAATGCACTCATGAGAATACCTTTCACCTTGTTGAGGAGATCAAGAGAACCTGAGACTAGGAGGAGATCATCGACATATACCAAGAGCCAAATGTACTCCCCCTCACTCGTGTGCATGAAGTACAACGCGTTGTCTCTCATGGACCTTGTGAAACCGTGCTTGAAGAGTACCTTCTCAAGAGCATGATACCATACCCGTGGGGACTGTTTGAGACCATAAAGGGACTTTACCAAGTGACAAACTCGACCCGTACCATCATCATAACCTTCGGGTTGTGCCATGTATACCTCTTCTTCCAAGACACCGTAGAGAAATGCGTTCTTGACATCCATTTGATGGATATGGAGACCAAGATATGCGGCTATGGCGAGGAGGACTCGTACCGTGGTGTACTTCGCTAGTTCGGCAAAGGTTTCGGTGAAGTCTAGACCTGGAATTTGGGAATAACCTTTTGCCACTAACCTTGCCTTGTACCTATCAAGTGTACCATCACCTTTTACCTTAATCTTGTACACCCACTTGACACCAATTACCTTCTTCCCTGGAGGTGGCTCAACAAGACGCCATGTACCTCTCTTCATGAGACTCTCAATCTCTTCTTCCTCGGCCTTCAACCATTGCTCTCTCTCGGGACTTGCCACTGCCTCACGACGACTCAATGGCTCTCGTGGAAGGTGTGACGCTGCCATGCATATTGCCTCTACCTTCTTGTGAATGCAATCCTCGCTCTCCTCACATGTGCACCTTGATGACATGTCAACCATGAATGTGAAGGGCTTTTTTACCTTGCGGACTCGTTTACCTTTACCCAAAGCCTCACTTGGCTGAGACAAATCAATGGTAGGGTTCGGTCTCACAGTGGTTGGATGCGTTGACACGGTCATCTGCGGCTGAGACAATGGCTGCGACATCGGCTGCGACGGCGGCACGACTGCATGATCTTCTCCCGGCGTGGAACTCTCTTGATTATCGGTGTTGACTTGAGGAATAGGTGTGGTGACTTGTGTCGGTGAAGTTGAAATGTTCGTCGGCATAGTTGGATGTGAAGATTCTCTTGGTGGGGATCTTGAGACTAGAAGCTTGGGAATTGATGATGACGCTGCGTTGTCGAAAGTTGGAGACGGTTCGGTCTGATTGGCGCTGTTTCTCGGTGTTGAAGATGGCGGTAACTGATGACGGCCGATTCCGGGACGTGGGGGTGAAGTTGAGAAAGGTCTTGGGTGAAGAAGTGGGCTGTTGGAGCTGGTGTTGGTGGTGATTCGCTGAAGTGATCCTCGTGCTATGAGCTGGCTTGACGTTGGAACCTGAAGTGATGAACGTGTGTGAGAACGAGATGTTGCGGTAATGGTTGTCTTGTTGGTAGGAAGAATTGTAGATGGTGCTGATGTAGGTACTTGGAGTCTTGTAGCTGTAGGTTGCTGCTGCATTGGATGATGGTGAGCTTCTGTAGTTGCCTCTGAATTGACGGCTGGTGATGGGTTTGATGGTGTAGTGGTGGGCTTATCCGGGTGACGTTGAACTTGCGGGGTTGGTGTTGAAGTAGCTGGCTGGTTGGTGACGGTTGGCTGCTGCTCCTTTGGCGGTGATGTAACGGTGACTTCTTGGGGTGGATTGTCTTCATTTGACGGCTGAACCACATCTCCACTTGGTTGAGTAGCTGCTGGTGGCACTGGTGTGGCGCAGCTGGTCTCGTTGACGACGGCTTGCGGGAGATCGATGATGGGTCCGCTATGGTCAGAATTGGTGTCATCTCCGTCCTCCTCTTGTGTTGTTTCCTCAGGTGCTCTTGCTGGTTCCTGTTGGAGAGAGGGTGGTAGAGAGGAGGAAGAGGAAAACTTGTGCCAATCTGCAAGGGACATGTCTTCATAGAAGACCACATCCCTTGAAACCACTTCTCGCTTGGTGACGGGATCCCAAAGGACCCATCCCTTGCTCTCGTTGGTCATGCCGATGAAGAGGCCCCAATGAGCTCTGCTGTCCAGCTTGACTCTCTTTGCATCTGGAACACGGTATTGGGTCATTGAACCAAAAACACAAAGCATAGACAGATCTGGTTTAACTCCAAACCAAGCCTCATATGGCGTTACACCATCCGGTAGGGGCCTTGTGGGTCTCCTGTTGCAAACATAGATTGCCATAGTGATTGCCTCACCCCACCAGAGCTTGTCAAGGCCCTTAAACTGAAGAAAAGTGGTAGCTATTGCTTGAATAGTGCGATGAAACCTCTCTGCAACTCCATTTTGCTGAGGACTATAGGGACAAGTGAACTGTTGTTTGATGCCCAATGCCAACAACTCCCCCTGAAATGCTTTTCCCATGTACTCACCTCCTCGGTCCGACCTCAAGGTGAGTAACTTCTTCCCTGACTCTCTCTCAACAAGTGCTAGCCATTGCTTGAAACACTTGTGAACTTCATCCTTGGTGTTGATGAAAAATGACCACGAGAAACGACTCTTGTCATCAATGAAAGACACCAAATATCTCTTACCGTTTCGAGTAGGGTCTCGCATGGGGCCAAATACATCAGTGTGGACCAACTCTAGGAGGTCCCTTGACTGAGACTTAGAAGGGAAAAATGGCTTTCTAGCTAGCTTACCCTCAACACAAGATGGACATGGAACGGAAGAAAGGGACTTGACTGCAATTTGACTCAAACTCAATCCTTCCACGCTCTTGTGATTCACCAACTCTTTCAATGCTTGCATTCCCAAGTGCCCCAAGCGTGCATGCCATACCTCAGCTTGGGAGATACTCCCTTTGTTGGTTGAAACGGCGGGAAGCGAGACAACATCGTTCTTCGTATTGCTAGAACCGCGCTTGATCTCCAACTTCATCTTGTAGAGCCGCCCGGTACGCTCGCCTTCAGCCACCAAATTTCCTGCACTGTCCCACACTTTGGCTTTCCCCCCTTGCAAGAGTACAGAGGCACCTTTCTCTTCAAGTTGTCCAGCTGAGAGCAAGTTTGCTCCCAAATCAGGAACGAACAAAGCTTTATTGACACAAAATGACTTACCATCCTTTTCGAACTCAAGCTTGCCGACTCCTTTGATAGGTACTTTGCCAAGATCAGCAAGTGTCACAGCTTTTGAGTCATATGAGGGCTGAAAATCCTTGAGAATGGACTGATAGGGAGTCATGGTTTCAGAACAGCCACTATCAAGGATAAACTCCTCACTACTAGTAGAAAAAACGTGCATGCAAGTGGCGGCGTTGAAAAGGACAGGACCTTCAGAATCTTTGGACTCATTCTGACTTGTAGAATGACTTGCCATGTTTGCTATGGCTGCCTTACCCTTTTCGTATAGTAGCTGAGGTGGGGGAACCCAATTAGGAGGCTTCTTAGGACAAGCATACCACGGATGACCCCACTCATGACAACAAAAACACTCGAAATTAAACTTTTTAGCATTTGAGGCTTGGCTGAAATTATTGACTCTTGGCGTATAGACTCGTGCATTCCTAGGCTGATATTGATTGGGAATAGAAGGCCTTGGCTGGACATAGGGACTTGACTTATAGGGAGGACTTGACTGAGCAAAACGAGAGGGTTTGTATGGGTTGGAAGGTGACTGAAAATTCGTACCATAGTAAGGTTGAGGGCGGTTTGGGCTGAAATTTCCTTGCCTCTGGGATTGGTTGCCATATCTTGTAGCTGCTGCAGCACTCCACGCACCCTCGTCACTCCGCTTGTTTCGTGCAAGGTCTCGACTTTGCTGCTCGTTGACAAGGGCTTCGAAGATGAACGCACGGGTCTTCATTGATTGCGGAAGTGCTTGTAGTGTTGCACGGAAAGTGTCCCACTCCGGTGTAAGGCCGGTGAAGATGACGGTCTTGAAAAGAGACTCTGGAATCTCCAAGCCGATCGCGGCTGCTTCCTCTAGCATCGTTTCAGCTCGTTGAAGGTAGGTTTGGGCTGGTTCTTCTTCTTCCATCTTGAGACTCATGAAGCGGCTCCATATCTCGGCCTGGCTGCTCTCGGATTTTGACTGGTGCATAGACTTCAGTCGGCTCCATGCTTCCTCTGCACTGTTTGCCTTTGTAGAGCAGGGTAGGAGCGACTTCAACTGCTGCTCGTGAATGCTATTGAGTAGGTAGAGGAAGGCCTCCTTGTTGCGCCGTTCGTAGAGTCGTTTTTCAGCTTCTGAAGCATCTGCTGCTGGTTTGGCTGCTTCTCCAGTGTAGTAAGGCCAGAGATCCAGAAGGGATGCAGTGAGCTCAAACTGAGTTGTCCATGTTGGAAAATCTTTGCCGTTGAACTTGGGGAGGTGAAGCTTAGGCATGAAGGAGGTGAGTGGTGAGTATGTAGTTGAAGAACTGCCTGGTGCAACTGCTTCTACTAATCCAGTAGCTCCTGTCCTGATGTTGAATCTGAAGCTCCTCCGTCTGGCTGGAGTGCAGGGCCGGATGGGTTGTCTCCCGCCATGGATGGATTGTGCTAGGATAGGAAGTTGGTGGCGCTCGGTTGATCGAAACGACGGGCTCTGATACCAACTTGCAAAACAGAGTAGCTTTGATGACTGGTAGGCTGGAAACTTGGCTGGAAAAGCTCAACAGAGCTGCTGGACTTGGCTTGATGAGAGAAAACTTCACTATGATCAAGATTAACAAGCCCACTAAAGCACAACTTCTTAAGCATTACAAACATGCAGATTGATAGCTCAAACTAGGCTGCTAGACAAGGCAACATCCTTGGGAACTTGGGCACAATTCAGATTCCATGAACCTTGAGTGACTTGAGAGCCACATGAGGTGCATGAACAAGAAATCTCTGGGATGTACTGTTATAGCTGATTCTGTTTTGTAGAAACCTGTAGAAACTGTCGACCCTTCTGTTTGAGAGCAATCCCGAACTGTATCGAGTCTTCGGCTGCGATCTGATTTGCTGCGGAAGTTTCTGAATTTTCGCGAAGCCTTCAATCCGTCGCCGACATTCTTGCTGCTCCTTGTGTGCAAAGGGCTGGGGCGGCAGAGACTCGATTCTCCAACACAGGGCACATCAGCTTGGCATGATGATACGGTATCACCCATCCCTCACACACCCCAACACTATGCAGGTTGCTGTTATAACGAGGATAGTGTAGACATAGGCCTACATTAGTGCAAAACATGTGCAAAATTGTATCAGCAACATCTAAGGCAGCAGGATATGTTCCTTAGGAAGTAATTTACGGTAGGTAATTTTTATTTTTTTAGTATGATTTGCCGCAGTGAATCAGACTGCCTGCACCTAGGAACAAACCGAACACAGCTGCACTCCCCAATGTGGTCTGGCCTATGTACCGAACCTTGAGAAGGCCCGGAACCTGGTAGGTTCGGCAGTGGGACGGAATACAAAGGAACAGCGGGACATGAGAAAAGATGCAATGTGGCTGCAGACTGCTATGCTATCCAAGTTTGAGATGTCTGGAAATTCAGTTACAGGGTGCCAGTGCTATTGTGTTATCAGCCTAAATGGAACGTCCAGAGAAGGGGATAGTGAAAAATGAAGAATGGGAGAATAGAAGATGTGGACAGCGGGGAGGGAGGTTGAGGGGAGAGGGATGAGAAGGGGTTGAGTGCGGGTTGGAGGATGAGAGTGGGGTGGGGGGAGTGAAAAGGGCACACTCGAATGGAAGCAGGGAAAGTGAGAGAGGAGAATGTGGAAGGTGCAAGGAGCTGACCGGGAAGGAGCACGGCTTGGCTCTTATATTATGGCGCAGGTCACAGACTGGGCCCCATGACGCTTCATTTATCCCCCATATGAAGTTATCCGCTATGTGGATTTCCTCCCCCATATAGAGTTTATCCCCCATATAATGTGCTTCGTATCACATATTTAAGTCACATTGAAAACAAATACCTTGCTAGTGACGTACCTTGTATCTGAACGCTTCGTATGTCCCGTACATGGCTCCTGCAAGGAGAAGGGCGAGGAGATATGAGGCAAGAGGAAGACAAATGAAGAGAAGTGAAGAGAGGAGAAGAACCTTTAAATCTGAACGATTTGTATGTCTCGTACATGGCTCCTGCACGGAATCGAGAGGAGAAACGCGAGGAGATTTGAGACAAGAGGTAAGGAAAGAGAAGGCAAGAGAAGAGACGAGAAAAAGGGAGGGAATAAGAGCAAGGAAGTGAAGCGAAGAGAAGAGAAGAGTGGCTTCTCACCAATCGCGCCGCCAACTGCGCCGCCGACGGCGACTCCAGCGACGACCCGGTTCATGCACCGATCCATGGCTGCTTGTATGCGCTGGTACGTACTGGTGCGTACTGGTGCGTACTGGTACGTTCTGGTACGTGGTAGTACCCTAGTGGTACGTGCTGGTATGTGCTACCGGTATAACCAAGAGTTATGGTAAGGTAATAATCGGGGGGTAGGCGACGGCCGACAGCTGTCACACTAAATCCGGGCTGGGTAATCCCAGAACACGACGGGACGAGATTTCACGAGGTTTCACGAGGAGCCGCGCGTCGAAGTGGAGTCGATCGCTACGAGCAATGAAAAGCGACTCCAACGAGCAACTTGTCAGTCGAGTCGAATCGAGCGCCGCACCGCACGGCGTATAAGGCGAGATCTGACCTCGTTTTAACAAAGACGCGAGATTCGACAATTTCCTTCCTAAAAAAATCGTGAAAATCGGTGTTGTTGAGCTGAGCTCGAAAGGCCGATAAGTTCGTGTGGCGTACAGCCGGGCTGTATCGAGGCCACGAAAAAAACAATATACGATACAAGGCGTAGGAATCTAAGACTACAAGAATGTGATCCCTAGTCAAGCGTAGAAGACGGCCTTTCTATGGTTTAGCTGGTCTTCCAGCCTTTCACCCAAGAACTTGGTGTTGAGGGCGTATTTTATAACGGAATCAGGATGGGCCGTCCAAGAATGTGGGGGTTCGGTTCGTGTTGCATGTCATAATAATGCAAGAATAGCTCTTACCGAGCAGGAAGCAATGAAACGTTGTTGAGTTTGTCACTGGTAATAGATATCTGCTTTGTCCTATAATACCGAGTTCAACAATAACGAGAAATTGCTCACCACCAAGCCAATCCAGCCTCCTTACCTTCCAACAGTAACTAAAATTTCCTGCTAATTAGGTCTCCTAGAAAATAGGTCTTTAATCTACTTGTCCAAAAATATTTCCGCTATGACTCATCCGTTATCCGATGCCGCTGTTCCCTTGTATTTCGCGGACGCGGATCCGTTTAGTTCCGAAGACGCTGACTTCGCTCAAGCCTTAGAGGACGACCTTTGGAATGGAGACGAGGGATCTAATAGCGAGGATGAAGACAACGGAGTCGACGGTTGTGGCAAGGATCCGGGATTTGAAGACGGATCGGACGGTGATGCGGATGACGCGGACAGATCTGACGGCGAGGGCGAGAGAGATTTTCAACGGGGTGAAGGGAAGCGAGGAACCTTGAGGGTGAGTTACCGTTTGTACAATTTGTAGCACAAAAATTTGTTGGTCATTTATGAATTCGTTAATTTTGGTCTTCATATTTTTTGTTCCGATTTCTGTTTTCATTTTCCTTGCGCTACTTGCCTTGTATCGATTTGCAGGATATCGACGTCTGTGCGGCTGACGACAACAATAACGAGACACCCCATATCAAGTCGGACAGCAATTCCGGAGACGAAGAAAACAGCAGATCGCAGAAGAAGAGGCGGATGGAACACGAAGAAGGCGACGAAGAAAGCCAGCCAACAGGCTCTGCCGGCCCTTCGGGGATTGAGATTCCCAAGCCCGCGATTCATTTCGGGGACCCGCAATTCACGGGGAGTCTCGGCCTGCTTCCGCCGGAGCTCTACCACCACGTGCTTAAATTCCTGTCCGCGGAGGTACGCAGGAGGAGATGGGGGAGGGGGGAAAGGTGGGGAGGAAAAGGGGGGTGGGGGGAGGGATGTGGAAGACGGTGGTTGCTGCGCCTACTGCATACGATGGGGGCCGCCTCCGCTCCCGCCTCTCAACCCCCCTGCTCCAACCACCCCCCTCCCCTCCCCCCCCCTTTTTTTTCAGGACCTATCGGTGTGTGCGTGTGTGTGTCGCTACCTCCGCACCGCATCATCCGAGAGGACCCTCTGGCGCCGCGCCTACTGCATCCGGTGGGGTCCCCCTCCCCCTCTGCTCCTCACTCCCCCCTCTCTCCCCGCACCCCCCTTGTTCTCCCGACCAGGACCTATCGGTGTGTGCGTGTGTGTGTCGCTACCTCCGCACCGCATCATCCGAGGAGAGCCTCTGGCGCCGAGCCTACTGCATTAGATGGGGGCCCCCTCCCCCTCCGCCCCTCACTCCCCCCACTCCCTGCTCTCCCCGTGCCCCCGCTTTTCTCCCCGTCAGGACCTGTCAGTGTGTGCGTGTGTGTGTCGCTACCTCCGATCCGCATCATGCAGGAGACTCTTTGGCGCCGCGCCTACTGCATCCGATGGGGGCCGCCTTCCCCTCCTCCCACTTATCCCCACTCCCCTCCCTTACCCCCTGCGCACCCGCATGCCCCCCTCTCCCCCAACACCCCCCCCACCAGGACCTCTCGGTGTGTGCGTGTGTGTGTCGCTACCTCCGCACCGCATCCTCTGAAGAAAACCTCTGGCGCCGAGCATACTGCATCCGATGGGGGCCGCCTCCCCCCCCTCCACCCTCCTCCACCCGCTCTGTTTTGGACGGACGAGGCGGGTCGGGCGGGATGGGGGGAGGGGGAGGAGGAGGGGAAGGAAGTGGAGGAGGTGGGGGAGGAGCAGGAGGAGGAGGGGCAGCAGGAGCACAAGCACGTAGCCATTGGAAACGTCTGTATTTTGAGGTGCGTTTTTTGCCTTTTGCGTTTGAGCAGGCCTTTTGCCTTTCAATGATTTTCACTCGACAAAACCATTCCTGTGTTGAACCCCACTATTCTCTGAGGGACCGCGAGGCGAAATGAAGGAGTTTGTAGCCGATTCCCCTCAGGACTTACGAGGCTTCTACGCGCAGCTGCAGACAGCAAAACGTAACCTGGTGCCCCTTATTTATTCCATCCCCAAACCCACCCAATGTTTTCTCAGAAGGACAGAGGCGAAATGAAGGAGTTTGTTGCTGATTCTTCTCAGGACCTGAGGGGCTTCTACGCCCAGTTGAAGGCAGCCAAACACCACCCAAGCGCAACCTGGTGCCCAGGCGCGACCAGGTGTACGATGAATGAGCTGGTCCATTTTTCTACTCCCTTTCTTTCTATTCCCACGGTGTGTTGCAGAGGGACCGGGGCGAAATGAAGGAGTTTGTAGCGGACTCCCCTCAGGACCTGCGGGGATTCTATGCCCAGCTGCAAGCTGCCAAGCGCAACCTGGTGCCGCGGAGGGACCAGGTGTACGATGAGCTGGTCCACGTCACGTCTGACCTGGCACGAGCTGTCGCGGAGTGGCGCCAGCAGAACAAGCTACCAGAGAGGGTGGAGGAAGCGCATCGGTGCACTGGGGGCAACTGCACGTTTCACCGCATTGAGAATGTTTTCCTGTGCGAGAAGACAGGCAGGGCGCATGGTGAGTGTTGGAGAAACGAGTCTAGGCTAGAAGGTATGAGTGTGTGTGTTAGAGGGTGGCGCCAGCAGAACAAGCTGCTAGAGGGGGTGGAGGAAAGCACATCAATGCACTGGGGGCAACTGCATGTTTCACCGCATCGAGAATGTTTTTATGTGCGAGAAGACAGGCCAGGCGCATGGTGTGTGTGTGGGTGGAGCTCATGGGAGAAGGAGAGGAGTGCAGGCGGCAGGTGGACGAGCTTCAGCATGCACTTGGTGCTGTCAGTTGTGCCCTGTAAAAGGAGTCGCCAATCTGATAGGTGCAAGTAGGTGGTTGTTGCAAGCTGTTGAAACAATTTGCAGTATTTAGGTCAAGCACGGCAAAGCACCCCACATGCATACAAGATTGTTTCAACAACAGCTTGTGACAGCTATCCACTTTCACCTATCAGCCTGGTCACTACTGTTCCAGAGCGTGCCTGACTGGCAGCATCAAGTGCTTGCTGAAGCTCATCCACCTGTTGCCTGCACTCCTTGCGCGCCTTCTCTAACTCCTCTTGCTTTCACAAAATTAAAGTGGTGGCATAGAAAAGGGAATTCACAGTGAGGGCAGGGCCAAAAGACCAGATTGAGACCCAACTTTTGCGCATCCCCCCTCTCTCGTGTGTGTCAGTGCCTGTGCATGCTCCAATTGCTGTTACTCTGTCTTAGCACCACCACTTGCGTTTTTTCCTAGCTCATTCCCAGTGGGTGAGACTGTGATGTCTACTGTGCAGGGCTGTTAGTGGACGTGAAAGGCAGATGCTTGGTTGCTGTGGCCCCTACATGCTCTCACAGTCTCCCCTCTCCCCTCATTCCCAGTGTGTGATGACAACTGCGCTGAGCTGCCAGAGGACGCAGAGGGTCAGATGCTCGTGTGTGCTATTGGCCAACATCTGCCTGTGTCCCCCTGCCTACCCCTCCTGCCGACCTCCATCCCTATCTTTCCCCCCACTCTCCCAGTGTGTGACGACAACTGTGCAGAGCTGCTAGAGGACGCAGAGAGCCCGACGCTCGTGTGTGCCATCAGGCACATATGCGCGTGTTCCCCCTGCCTGCCCTTTGTCTACCACCTTCCTGTTCCGTCTCCCCTCATTCCCAGTGTGTGACGACAACTGTGCGGAGCTCCTAGAGGACGCAGAGAGCCAGATGCTCGTGTGTGCCATCAGCGGGCGGTGTGTGGACCGCATGTTGAGCCCTCAAGAGGAGTTCGACCACCAGAGGGTGAGTGTGGAAAAGGTTGCCTGTCCGTGGGGCATGTGTGTGTGTTGCACGTGTGTGTGGGCGGGACGGTGTGTGGATCCCATGCTCAGTCCCCTAGAGGAGTTGAAACACCAGAGGGTAAGTGGGATCATGATTTCCTGTCCGCGGTTGCCGTGCCTTTCAATCTTCATTACATGCATCCTCTCTCCTCCACCTTCCACTCCACGTCACCATATGTGACCGCATCACCTCGTGTTTTCTTCTTTTTTTTTCACCTTCGTGTGACTGTATCGCAGGCTGCAGAAGAGGCAGCGTCCACATGCCAGCCAGAGGAGCTACAGGAGCCCTTTATGGGAGCGGGGAGGTTTGGTGAGTAAGAGCGTTGTTGTAGCAAGTTGAGTTTTGAGGCGTCTCAAAACGTGAGGCGCCTCAAAACAAGAGCGTTGTTGTGGCAAGCTGTCAGAAGTCCCAACAATTCTGAAGTATTGTTTCTTGTAGCAAGCTTTTCCATGTGTTAGGCTTCTGTTTGAAGGAAGCGTCCGCTACCTCTTTTTTAACCTTTTTTTTGTTTTTGTTTTGTTTTTTTGTGTTTTTTTTTTTTTTAATGCTCCTTCTTCCAGGACGGGCATTTGTGGCGGGCTATTACTCCAGCAGCGAGAGGGACCTGCATGAGAAGCAATGGTAGGCAGCGTGTTGTGGCCTGGGATGGCACAGTATGGCACGGTATGGCACAGTATGGCACGGTATGGCACGGTATGGCACGGTATGGCATGGTATGGCATGGTGTGATGTGGCATTGAGCCTACAGGAGAGCATTTGTGGCGGGCTGTGACTCCAGCAGTGAGAGAGGGACCTGCATGGGACGGAATGGTACGCATGCCGTGGCATGGTGTGGACTAGGATAGCACTGTATGGCACAGCTTCGACACTGTATGGCACAGCTTCGACACTGTATGGCACAGCTTCGACACTGTATGGCACAGCTTCGACACTGCATGGCACAGCTTCGACACTGCATGGCACAGCTTCGACACTTCATGGCACAGCTTCGACATTGCATGGCACAGCTTCGACACTGCATGGCACAGCATGGCACGCTGTGTATAATTTGAAGGCTGACTTGTGTAGAGTAGTGTCAGCTGCATGCTTCACTCCCCTTAAAAAAATCCCTAAAGCACTTCTTGTTTCCTTTTGCCTTGCCCTCATGCCAGGTCGCTTTGCGGCTTCTAGCTTTCCACTCGGCCCCTTGTTTTGGTCTGGAAAAGGGTGATTTCATGCTGCCCGGAAAGAGGTGTTTTAAGGCTGCCCAGAAGGTGTTTCAAGGCTGTCCGAGAAGAGGTTTTTCCAGGCTCTCCTAAAAGAGGTGGATTCCAGATGTGTCACGGCCTGAGGAGGAGGTGCAAGTTCGATTCGACCACCATCGTATAATACATTGATTGACATGACGTATGGGGGACAATATTGACGGCACGGCAGCATAGTCTGCCCTATGTCTTGTGATCGCCTGAGGTAGGTGGGTATTGAACAGCCAATAGTTTACAATGTTGAACTCTTGTGATGTGTCAGTGGCTTGTTTCTGAGGGATGGTATCTAGGTATACTAGTTATGGTACTACAGTTGTATCGTTTATGATTCTTTGATTCAAGTTCTTTCAAGGTGTTTTAAGGCAGTAAAATACAACACTAACAAAGTTGCTGGTTCTAGGTTCAATGACATGGCTTCTAATACAAGCAGGCACAAAGCAAAGATAGAAAACCATTTTTCATAAACCACTCCTTGAAACTCATAAACCCTGCAACTGCAAGTGCAGTGTGCACTAGTCTCCAAGTGAGCCTGCCAACCTACCAGCTTGCCAGAACCCTGCAGGCAAGCATACAGCTTCACTGCAGCGGGTGGGGAGGTCCATTACCCAGGCATGGCTGAATCTCCCCAGGCTTTCAAGCATAAGCTTCCCTCTGGACCTGCTTGACTCATGATAAACCCACCTAGGTGTCAGCTGCAGATCCTGCTGCTGCCTAATACTGGTAAGGTAAGACCTAAAAAGTTTTTTTTCTCAAGCATGTGCTTGACTTGCTTGAACCATCACGAGCATGCGCATTGCACGCCTTGCTGTTGTTGCAGCCTGCAGGCTCGCCACGCATGCTACACTGCAAGGCAATGCAGTGCTTGGGCCACGCTGATGATAGAGAACCCTGCTGTACGCCTTACTGTAGCTGCAGCCTGCAGCCTGCAGCCTGAAGCCTGCAGCCATTGCTGCCTGAAGCCTGCAGCCACTGCTGCCTGCAGGCCTGCCACGCATGCTATGCCACACTGCAAGGCAATGCAGTGCTTGGGCCACTTGCGCCACGCTGATGATAGAGAGGATTCACCAAGGATTCACCACCACACCACCCTGCGGTAAGTCTTGCTGTAGGTACACAGCCTGCGCCACAGCTGCAAAAGCTGCTGCTGCTACACCCATGCTACACTGCAAGGCAACACGACGCATGCACCATGCTAATGACAGCCCTCCTGTTCCGTACTATACTGCAACATGCTCCACTCGCTACCAGATTTGAGCTTCTCCCTTTCAATGCACCCTCTAAGATACTTTCTGATGCCAAGGCAGATGAAGGGATGGATGAACTAAGGGGCTTTCCCCTCATTAGCTCTGCTTGAACTCCTCATTAGCTCTGCTTGAACTCCTCATTAGCTCTGCTTGAACTCCTCATTAGCTCTGCTTGAACTTGTGGTAAGTCAAAACAGGAGGTACACATCTGACCAAATCACAATCTTTTCATCTGCCCAAATCACAATCTTTTCATCTGCCCAGGTGGAGGCTCGACGCCAAGGTTTTCACCTGCCCAGCGCCTGCTGCAGCTGCAGCACCTGGGCGCGTTGGTCAGGTGGGAGCGCGTTCACCTGCTCAGGTGTTAGGCTCATCACCTGAGCCAGGAGGGCCTTCTGTTGCTCCACGTCCAATACCGGCTGTGGAGAGAGGACAGGGGAAGAGAGAGGAAAGGGGAAGATTGAGAGACGGAGCGTGTTAGGCTCTTCACCTGAGCCAGGAGGAGGGCTTTCTGTTGCTGCACGTAATACAGGCTGACACATGTGAACTGCACGTAGTACAGGCTGACACATGTGACCTGCACGTAGTACAGGCTGACACATGTGACCTGCACGTAATACAGGCTGACACATGTGACCTGCACGTAGTACAGGCTGACACATGTGACCTGCACGTAATACAGGCTGACACATGTGACCTGCTTGGGAGAAACAAAAACGTCCATAGTCAACCTTCCAATTAAGTTTAGAGGTGACTTTTGAGTCGACTCAAGTAAAAAACGTCCATAGTCAACCTTCCAATTAAATTTAGAGGTGACTTTTGAGTCGACCAAGTAAAAAACGTCCATAGTCAACCTTCCAATTAAGCCTCACCTCAGGAGCATTGAGGTCGTTTATGAGGCGCCTCAAAAACGACCTCAAAAACGTCCATAGTCACATGTGGTCAACCTTCCAATTAAGCCTCACCTCAGGTGCAGCAGGAGCGGCTGCTGGTGATGGCAGTGGCAGCTCTGGCATCCCTCCCCTTCCATACCCTCCCCCACCTCCCAAAACAATCACAATCCCTACCAGCCTCTCCACTCCCTATCAACATCTGCAACACTCACCTCAGGTGCAGCAGGAGCAGCAGCTGGTGATGGCAGTGGCAGCTCTGGCATCCCCCCCCTTCCACACCCTCCCCCATCTCCTTCAAAAAACCCAAACAGCACTCTCACTCCCTGATCCATCCCACTCTCACTATCTGCAATACCCACCTCAGGAGCAGCAGCAGGAACTGGTGATGGCAGTGGCAGCTTAGGCATCCCCTCCCTTCCATACCCTCCACCCCCTCCTCCCCCCTCCTCCCCCTCCTCCCGAAACCATCACAATCCTTACCGACCTCTCCACTCCATAAGCTCCCCAACCCAAACCTATCAAAATCTGCAACACTCACCTCAGGTGCAGCAGGAGTGGCTGCTGGCGATGGCAGTGGCGGCTCTGGCATCCCTCCCCTTCCATACCCTCCCCCACTTCCTCCCCTCCTAAACAATAATGATACTTACCAACCTTCCCACTCCTCAATCACACTCCTCAATCACTCTATTAACCAACTCATTTCTCTTTCCAACTGAATACCCACCTCAGGTGCAGCAGGAGCAGCAGCTGGTGATGGCAGTGGCGGTTCTGGCATCCCTCCCCTTCCATACCCTCCCCCACCTCCTCCCCCTCCCCCTCCCCCTGGCCCATACCCAGGCCCGCCCCCCATCCCTCTCATCCCCCCACCCCCCATCCCCCCCATCTCCCCTCCCCTCATCTCCCCTCCCCTCATCTCCCCTCCCCTCATCTCCCCCCCTCTCGCCCCCCGCCCCATTCCCCTCAAGGGTCCCCCTGACGGGCCTTCCATGTAGCCCCCCCCACCCCCAGGCACTGCTGCAGGGGCAGCCGCGGGGGGGGGATGGGGGGGGAGCGGGGGCGCGTCTAGGGGGTACATAGGGGCGTCTGGGGGAAGGGGGGGAGTGGGGCGGTGTGGGGGGACTGGTTGGTGCTGCCAGTGCGGGCGGGGAGGCATTTGCTGCTGGGGTTGCTCCTGATCCTGCAGTCAGGAAAGTGAAAGAAAGAATATGGGAGAGAGAAACTCAGTGGCTTGGTGGCACCATCACGGCTGAGTCTCGGGCAAAATTCAAAGACTGGAACAGAGAAGTGCAATGGTCAATTTCTGAGTTGGCTAAAAAATAATCTCAGGCAAAATCTAAAACTGGGAAGGAGAAGGAAAATGGTAAACTTAGCTGGAAAGCACAGAGCAACTAGGGAGGAGGGAGGTTGGAAAACGTTGACAGGTAAAGCAAGAGACGAGTACCATGAATTGTGGCTGGCCATACGGTTCCATTGGAGGCTGGCCTTGGTCCTGCTTCAAATAACACACAAACACATATGGACGGGACAGATACACATGTGCACATACAGATGCAATTTAGGAGGACACACATATCACACACACCCATGAGTGCACGGAAATGTGCCATGAGTGCCCACTTCACATGGTTTAGCCACGTGCCCTTCTAAATATGTGAGCACATGCCGCATGGGCACAGGGTCAAACATGTACATGAGTAGAAGCACATGAGTAGAAGCACATGAGTAGAAGCACATGAGTAGAAGCACATGCGTAGAAGCACATGAGTAGAAGCACATGAGTAGAAGCACATGAGTAGAAGCACATGCGTAGAAGCACATGCGTAGAAGCACATGAGTAGAAGCACATGAGTAGAAGCACATGCGTAGAAGCACATGAGTAGAAGCACATGAGTAGAAGCACATGCGTAGAAGCACATGAGTAGAAGCACATGAGTAGAAGCACATGCATAGAAGCACATGAGTAGAAGCACATGAGTAGAAGCACATGCGTAGAAGCACATGCGTAGAAGCACATGAGTAGAAGCACATGAGTAGAAGCACATGAGTAGAAGCACATGCGTAGAAGCACATGAGTAGAAGCACATGAGTAGAAGCACATGCGTAGAAGCACATGAGTAGAAGCACATGCGTAGAAGCACATGCGTAGAAGCACATGAGTAGAAGCACATGCGTAGAAGCACATGAGTAGAAGCACATGCGTAGAAGCACATGAGTAGAAGCACATGAGTAGAAGCACATGCGTAGAAGCACATGCGTAGAAGCACATGAGTAGAAGCACATGAGTAGAAGCACATGAGTAGAAGCACATGCGTAGAAGCACATGAGTAGAAGCACATGAGTAGAAGCACATGCGTAGAAGCACATGAGTAGAAGCACATGAGTAGAAGCACATGCGTAGAAGCACATGCGTAGAAGCACATGAGTAGAAGCACATGAGTAGAAGCACATGAGTAGAAGCACATGCGTAGAAGCACATGAGTAGAAGCACATGAGTAGAAGCACATGCGTAGAAGCACATGAGTAGAAGCACATGAGTAGAAGCACATGCGTAGAAGCACATGAGTAGAAGCACATGAGTAGAAGCACATGCATAGAAGCACATGCGTAGAAGCACATGAGTAGAAGCACATGAGTAGAAGCACATGCGTAGAAGCACATGAGTAGAAGCACATGCGTAGAAGCACATGCGTAGAAGCACATGAGTAGAAGCACATGCGTAGAAGCACATGAGTAGAAGCACATGCGTAGAAGCACATGAGTAGAAGCACATGAGTAGAAGCACATGAGTAGAAGCACATGCGTAGAAGCACATGCGTGCACGAGTGCACGAATGTGAACGTATGAGAAGAAACGCCCCATGGCGTTGGATTAACATTTTTGAGGCGCCTCAAAAATTGCACGAGTGCACGATTGCACAAATGCACGAATGTGATGTGTACGTATGAGAAGAAACGCCCCACGGCGTTTGATTAACATGACTGAGCATCAGCGGTTGGCACATGGAACAAATGACACGTGTATAGCCAGCCAGGATTCGACTAGCCGACAAAACTCTCTACAGGAATGCTGTCAATGCATTTCAGTGCGTCTCAGCACACGATAAAAAGGGCCAAAAAAAAAAAAAAAAAAAAGAGGATCAAGAAGGCGAAATTCTCTAGCGCAGGCAGTTATATTATGTTCCTTACCTGGTAGGGGTGTGGCCGACCATACCCCCCTCCTCTCCCCCTCATCTCTTGCTGTCTCCCGTGGTGGGGGGGAGGGGGTCCTTGTGGGAGAGGCGGACCCCCTTGTGGCCGCTGATTTGGGGGAAAGGTTGGGGGGCGGAGAGGGATGGAGAGGGGTGGAGAAGGGGGCGTGTCTGAGTGTGCGGCTCTGCCCCTCATCTCCTGCTGCCGCCCGTGGTGGGGGGGAGGGGGGCCGGGCCCTGCAGGAGAGGCGGACCCCCTTGTGGCCGCTGATTCGGGAGCAAGGTTGGGGGGCGGAGAGGGATGGAGAGGGGTGGAGAAGGGGGCGTGTCTGAGTGTGCGGCTCTACCCCTCATCTCCTGCTGCCGCCCATGGTGGGGGGGAGGGGGGCCGGGCCCTGCAGGAGAGGCGGACCCCCTTGTGGCCGCTGATTCGGGAGCAAGGTTGGGGGGCGGAGAGGGATGGAGAGGGGTGGAGAAGGGGGCGTGTCTGAGTGTGCGGCTCTGCCCCTCATCTCCTGCTGCCGCCCGTGGTGCGGGGGAGGGGGGCCGGGCCCTGCAGGAGAGGCGGACCCCCTTGTGGCCGCTGATTCGGGAGCAAGGTTGGGGGGCGGAGAGGGATGGAGAGGGGTGGAGAAGGGGGCGTGTCTGAGTGTGCGGCTCTGCCCCTCATCTCCTGCTGCCGCCCGTGGTGGGGGGGAGGGGGGCCGGGCCCTGCAGGAGAGGCGGACCCCCTTGTGGCCGCTGATTCGGGAGCAAGGTTGGGGGGCGGAGAGGGATGGAGAGGGGTGGAGAAGGGGGCGTGTCTGAGTGTGCGGCTCTGCCCCTCATCTCCTGCTGCCGCCCGTGGTGCGGGGGAGGGGGGCCCTGCAGGAGAGGCGGACCCCCTTGTGGCCGCTGATTCGGGAGCAAGTTTGTTGGAGGAGAAAGGGGAAGGGAAGGGAGGGGGAGAGAGGGGAGGGGAGTAGAGGCGATGAGAGCGGAGGAGAGCGGAGGAGAGCGGAGGAGAGCGGAGGAGAGCGGAGGAGAGCGGAGGAGAATGGGGGATTAGTTTTGAGAATTCTCAAAACTAATCTCAAACAAAATGGACTACATCAACCTCCGTTTGTATCAGCGGAGGAGAGCGGAGGAGAGGGGAGGAGAGCGGAGGAGAATGGGGGATTGGTGGAGAAAAGAGATGGTGGGATGAGCGGAGGGAGATGATATAGAGATCAAACTAAAAAGACGTTAAGAGAGAAACACACACGGAAATCAGAGAGAGATGAGGGAGTGAGGAGGGGAAAAGGTGGGGAAAGCAGTGGAGGGGAAGTGAGGGTGGGGGCGGACGGGAGAAAATACGCATCTTGTAAGATAGGGGGGGCTGGTGGTGGCTGTGGTCCATTTTTTTAGGCGTCACAGAAAAGGGATGTGAAAGGGAGAAGGAAGGCTGAGGACTGGTAGGAAGGGAGGGGGTTTGGGAGGAAGGGATGGTGAGGCGAGACAACGTACCTGTTGAGATGGAGGGGCTGGCGGTGGCTGCGGTGCGGGCTCTGGTGCCGCCTGCAGTGCAGATATGCAGCAGAGAGGAGCAAAGCAGCAGTGGAAACTAACAAAAAAAGTTCTAAGGGAAGACAACGCACCTGTTGAGATGGAGGGGCTGACGGTGGCTGCGGTGCGGGCTCTGGTGCCGCCTGCAGTGCAGAGAAATTGACACAGAGAAGCAGAGAGGCAGCGACGGGAGCAAGAGCGAGGAGCAATGCTGAGACGAAGGTGGAAAATCTGAAGGAACGAACACAAAACCCAGTTAACCTTTAAGTGATTCATTGCTGAGACGTTTCAGGAATAATATTGTCCAGCAACAGGTGGAATCAAATCAACTCCCAAATTAGCACCCGGAAACTCACAGCGCCAGTGGCCTTGACCATTCCCAGCATCACTTGGGCCTGCACATATGGCATGGCACAGCATGCACACGCAGATGAATCCATGCATGCATGGCATGGGCATGGCATGCAAACGCAGATAAATCCATGCATGCATGGCATGGTATGGCATGGGATGCACACGCAGTGATGCACACACAGTCATGGGAGGATGGATGTGAGGAGATGAAAGACATGGGACCTCTCCTGTCTTAGCATCTAGGTGACTTTTGAGTCGACTAAAAAATTATGAAAATGTGTCATGTGCCATGGTAACGAGGTGACTTTTGAGTCGACTCAAAAGTCAGATGAAAGATAAGGGACCTCTCATGTCTTAGCATGTAAAAGTGCCTTATTTGAAAGGGACTTACTTGAAACAGGCCTTTGGCCAGCTGAGGGTTTTCCACCAGAATGGCTCGTGCTTGCGATCGGTTAGTTTGAATCAGCACCTGGGGGATAGGTTGAAGCGGGAAAGGAGAAAGCAGGAGGGAAAGGAGAAAGCGGAAGGAAAAGAACACATACAGGGAAACAATTCCTTACTAAAAGAACAGGACACAGAACTGAATACCGCGGAATATTTTCAGCATAAATAGCATACCTTCATCTGCGCCAGCAGGTCATAGAGTTGCTGCTTGGACATCCCTGCGAGCTGATTGGTCAACGGATCTGCTGACTCAGCATCCCCACCTCCTGGCGTCGCCATGCCTCCTGTCCCCGGCTTTCTCACCACCACTGGTGGCGGTGCCCCCAGCGCTTGTGCTACAAAGAAAGCTGCTTCTATCGCAGCGGGGAACCCAATGGGCTGAGTGAGTGACTCTAACGGGGGAGACGGATACGATTGTTGGGATAATGAGGGGTCTGGTTGAGGGGAGCGGCGCTGCTGCTGATGCTGGTAGGGGTACCGGCCGGGATGCTGCTGTTCCTGTTGCTGCTGCTGTTGTTGTTGTTGCTGTTGAGTGGACCCTGGAGCCCACACCACACATGCACAGGGACATGACGACGCAACAGGACAGTGAAAAGGAACCGGAAGTCAAGTCAGAAGAAAATTGCCGCAAAAAGGCAGCAAAACAGCCACAAATACCCAGCAACCAACAGGGACTAAGAATTTTACCGTATCCTTGAGATCCTGGTGCGGTAGTAGGTCCTCCTTTTCCCTGCCCATATCAACAGCCAGAAGCCCAAAAAAATTCCTCTCTTATCAGAAGAAGGCAGTCGGAACGACACTGAAAACAAGCCAGTCACAGGAAGTCAACCGCACTGACAGAACTTCTCGGCGTCTACTTGTCAAATTCTGAGTCAACGCAAAGATAGGAGTGAGGAATAACATTAGCCACAGTACCGTTTGCTGGCCGCTCTTGTCGCTCTCAGCAAAGTCAACTCTGAGCTGCCGGCCGTTGATGTCGTATCCGTTGAGGTTCCTCCGGGCACTCTGTGCTGTCTCCTCGTCCCTGTACTCGCAGAACCCGTACCCCTTGGGCTTGCCGCTCTCCCTATCTGTCACCAGCCTGGATGCAGCCAGGCAGGCAGGTAAGCGGGCGGGAAGCAGGCAGGAAGACAGGAAGCACAAGGAAAACGGGCAGGCAAGCGGGCAGACGAGCAGGAAAGCGGGTAGGCAAGCGGGCAGGCAAACTTTTGACTCGAAATCAGCTCGTTGGAGTTCTGGATTGCTGAGCTCTGTGCTGTCTCCTCGTCCCTGTACTCGCAGAACCCGTACCCCTTGGGCTTGCCACTCTCCCTATCCGTCACCAGCCTGGATGCAGCCAGGCAGGCAGTTAAGCGGGCAGACAAGCGGCCAAGCGAGCAGGCAGGCAAGCAGGCAGGCGAGCGGGCAGGCAAGCGAGCGGGCAAGCAGGAAGGGAAAACGGGAAGCAAGCGAGCGGGGAAGCAGGTAGGCGGGCAGGCAGGTAGAGAAGCGAGCAGGAACGTGGAGAGGAGGCACAGGGCGGGAGCAGGTGCCGAGGCGGGAGACACAACCGATGGCAGGATGGAAGCAGCATGACCAGATCTAATCAGTCCTGTTGGTGCGCTCATGCGCCAGATAACAGGCGAGCTAGGCACGGGGACAAAGATTGCTAGCTATCTTGCGTTTGTGTGTACTGGTCAGATAATCCTGCTGTTGTTTCCTTGTGATTATAAAGTCACTTGTTCACGATTGCTGGAGACATGGTACTCTTAAAATCCCGATAATTCATTACTCTACCCAGGTCGAAAATCGCTAGCACGTGAAGCTGGTCGACCCAGTCTGGTCAGAGCGTGTGAAAAGTTTCAAGCTGAAACTAAGGTCCATTTCCCTGCTGGAGTGCAGAAGGTCTTACTATTCCTTCTTTTTCAGCGGCCGGGACATTTCAAACCCTCTGTTCAGGTCGCCGGTTGTTGTGATTTTTGCTCTCTTCGTTTACACTGGAGCTTCTTTTCAGTGACGTCAACTCCATGGAAGAATACATACAATAATGATACAAACAGGGAACACTGGAGGAAAACGAAGCACCGAAACCATACGGACAAATAGCTTGCACGATCGCGATGATCGGACGGTCCTGCTTGCACATACCGAAAGGAAACCACGGGCCCGACCTCCTCACAGATCTGACGCAGCTGTTCCTCGGTAGTATCGTAAGGGATGTTGCCGACTGCGACACAAAAGAACAGGCTGAGAGTCACACGGCTCGCGAAGGATAGTGATAACGAAAAGAAGAGCGTAATTGTATTCTATGTATTACGCTTAAAGAAGAGCGTACTTACCAAAGACACACCTAGGCGAGCGCAACATGGATAGGCGAACGGCGAGAATTACGGGAACTAGAAACCCTACGTTGCAGAGCCGACCCTTATCTGTTGGGGCAATCCCTAGGTTGCGATTGTGAAGCTTTGCATAGCTTGAACTGCATTAGATGGGAACAGTCATACGAGATGTTTTTTGCCAGTTTGAGACGCACTCGCTACTTGATAAGATTGATACGTACGAGTTCTTCGGAAAAATATATACATGTGTGTGTTTGAATTGCCTAATTTTGTAGACAAATCAAAGCTGAGGTACATAAGCATTTTGTTTTGTAAAATTCAGTGTTACCATGATATTATCAAAGTAATAAATATAATTTACGGCATAGTTGGGCTTTTATCAGATTAACTGAGAACAAGGCTAAGTTATACCATTATTGACTATGCCATGAGTATTGTACATACAACAGAACATATTGAGTTACTAACCGCACAAAAACACTCTATGCCCTTACGAACCCACTCCGACTCCTCTCTTGTTGAACCGTTCACTGAAAATGCCCTCGAGTTCCACACCTTGATAATTTTTGTCCAAGTTCGATGAGCTCTAGGGTTCCCTTCCCCAACTGACGTCTGTAGACAGAACCTAGAAAATGTCATCGACTCGCAATATCACTCAACCGACAACTGATTCCACCAGGCGCCTGAACCGATAGTTTCATCGCGTTGCTCTACTTTTCAAGGCTCTCGCCGCTCGCTGCTTTCAATTTCGCCAGTCACGGCCTCGGCAAGCCTCGATCTCCTCTCGTATAATTGTCGAGCCCCTCACATTACGACCTGAAGTAGTGAGAGTCATCTTTGACAGCCCTTGCCTTGCACATTGTTGGTTTATAACGAGGACAAGTAAGCCCGTCGACATGGCTGTCGGCGTTAGAATGGTAGTGGTGATGCCGGGTGTGTGATGGAGCAGAAGCAGCACGCGTCGATCAAACAGCGACGGAAGGTTGATAAGAAAGACGTTAAAAAAGACGAGCGAGATACGAGCGCATCCAGCGAGAAAGCAGCAAGGGAAACTCGATCTTCCGCAAGCTCGTCGAACAACGGTCAGATTGGAGGCGATACCAGCGCTGACCGTGTAACCAAGACAGAGAACCAAGTAATTTTCTGTGTGTATCGGCGTGCGTGTTACTGGTATTTCTTTCGTGACGCCTGTGCGAGCATATATGCATACAATGATGCGTAATGCTTGTGTGTAATTGGTGCCATGCGCACTCGCAGTCTCTATCAGTCTCCCTCACATTTTTTCTCATCGGCTTCGCATTATCTCCCCCCTCGGCCCGTCACTCTCTCAACCGAACACCCACTCTCCTTCCACCTCTCGCTCCCCTTCCTCACTCCTCTCCCTCCTCTCTTCCCTTCTCTTTCTCACTCCCCTCCCCTTTCTCACGCAACTCCCTTCCCTCACCCCGACACCCCGGACAGGGTGTTACAGCTAGTCCTCTAACCAAACGAAAACTTACAACACTCGCCCACGCTCTACTTGTAGTCGCTCTTGCTCTCCTCCTGGGAAACTGGCAGCGGATTTCACAGGGTAGTTTCCTCCTCGAAAGTCTACCTTTCAAGGCCTTCAACTTCGGTGAAGCCCCTCTCCCGCCGCTCCACCATTCCGGCCCAGTATGCCGCACCTGTGACCGCGCCTCATGCTCCTTCGCCTACTTGCAAGGACTCACTGTGAGTCTGTGATGTTTGAGATTTGCTTGGATGCAGATTGTAATTGATTAGACATTATTCCTCTAGTCAGGCCTGGTATGCCGCACCTGTGACCGCGCCTCATGCTCCTTCGCCTACTTGCAAGGACTCACTGTGAGTTTTCACGTTTTTCTTCAGAAGTTGCTTCCACGCCAGCAAACCCTGGGGCCTGGTATGCTGCACCTATCTGTTTTCCTTCTTTCAACTGTCCTTGTTCCTTGGCGCAACTAACTGTTTCCAATATCCGCTCCCTCCCTCCTCACCTCCACCCACCTGCAGAATCTCCTGACCCTTGTGCCGCCTCTAAGCGGTGCTCACAGCAGCATGGCGGCCAAGTGGGCCAAGTTTCAAATGCCCTCTCTCAGTGACGCTGACGACCTCCCAGGTACGCGGCACACCACAGTGACGACAGCACAGCATGCCAGCTCTAAAGTCATTCCTCTAGCGGTGCTCACAGCATCATGGCGGCCAAGTGGGCCAAGTTTCAAATGCCCTCTCTCAGTGACGCTGACGACCTCCCAGGTATGCGGCACACCACAGTGACGACAGCACAGCATGCCAGCTCTAAATCATTCCTCTAGGCGGTGCTCACAGCATCATGGCGGCCAAATGGGCCGAGTTTCAAATACCCTCTCTCAGTGACGCTGACGACCTCCCAGGTACGCGGCACACCACAGTGACGACAGCACAGCATGCCAGCTTTAAAGTCATTCCTCAAGGCGGTGCTCACAGCATCATGGCGGCCAAATGGGCCAAGTTTCAAATCCCCTCTCTCAGTGACGCTGACGACCTCCCAGGTTCGCAGAGCGTAACTTTACAACAAGCCAAGACACCACCACCAGTGCTGATGCAGCCTGCCATTTTACACACTCCACCCCCTCCCTCGCTATCCCCCCCCTCTCCCGCACCCCTTTCTCCCATTTCTCAGGAACCCATGCCCCTACCTCCTCCCCTCTGACCGCTCCATCCTCTCCCTCCTTATGTGCAGATGGCGTGGTGATTCAGATTGTGGCTTCTGACTGGTCGGTGGTGGAAGCACCTGGGAATTCTTAACGTCTCTAAAATCGTCTTCTGACCCCCCTGGCCCCTCGGTCCTCTCCTCATCTGCAGATTGTGTGGTGATTCAGATTGTGGCTTCGGACTGGTCCGTGGTGGCAGCACCTGGGGGGGTTTTGAGCTGTCTCATTTATCGTCTTCTAAACCCCTCCGTCCTCTCCCCCCTAATGTGCAGATGGCGTGGTGATTCAGATTGTGGCGTCGGACTGGTCCGTGGTGGCAGCACCTGAGGGCGACTGGAGCCAATTAGTGAGTTAACTCAAGAACTCTTTTCCCTCCCTCCCCACCCAAACCCCTCCGTCTCGCTCTACATCTGCAGATGGCGTGGTGATTCAAATCGTGGCGTCGGACTGGTCCGTGGTGGCAGCACCTGAGGGCGACTGGAGTAAACCGTTGGGATTGGAGAAGGCGGGAGGGAAGGAGGGCAGCAGGGTGGGAGACGTGTTCACCGTTGTTGTTGTCAAGACTGCTGAACCCAACAGGTGAGGCTGTTTAACGGGGATATCTGAGCCTCCTTTACTCTCGGAAGGGCAGGAGGGCAGCAGGGTGGGAGACGTGTTCACTGTCGTTGTTGTGAAGACTGCCGAACCCAACAGGTGAGGCTGTTTAGTGGGAATTTTTGAGCCGCCTTGTTCTTTGGGAGGGCTGGATTGCAGCAGGGTGGGAGACGTGTTCACCGTTGTTGTCATCAAGTCTGCCAAACCCAATGAGTGAGGATGTTTTACAGGGATGTTTGAGCCGCCTTGAAGTTTGGGAGGGCAGGAGGGCAGCAGGTTGGGAGACGTGTTCACAGTTGTTGTCGTGAAGACCGCTGAATCCAACAGGTGAGGCTCAGATCAGAGGGCGTGGAGAATCTGCCAAGGGAGATTGAGGAGCGAGGTAGGAGACCGAGAGTGGAAGGTGGGAGGGCAGGCAGGGGGATTGCGCTGGAGGAGGCACTACAATCTGATCTGACTACATCATCCCTATGAGGCGCCTGCAGGGAGTTTTTGAGAATTCTCAATAACTCCCTGCAACGTCAAGGAGGAGGCACTACAATCTGACTACATCATCCCTATGAGGCGCCTCAAAGTGGGGAAGACAAGAAGACAAGGCTTTTCTCAGCGCTTCCCCAACCCCGCAACCTTCTCCCCACTAACCCCTATTCCCCCGTTCCACTCTGTCGCCCTGTGAGGGAAATAGCCTTGTCCCACTCCCTCTGGAGCATGCTCTGTTCTAGCAAGTTCTTTTGAGGCGCCTCAAAACTCGTCTGGAGCATGTCCTGTTCTAGCATGTTCTGTTTTAGCATGTTCTGTTCTAGCATGTTCTGTTTTAGCATGTTCTGTTCTAGCATGTTCTGTTTTAGCATGTTCTGTTTTAGCATGCTCTTCACAATTCTCACATGTCCGGCTTCTCTTCCGCTTCCAGCAAAGCACACCCAGTCTCTCGCATCTTTCCCCTACGCCCCTCTCCCTTCCACCCTTTCCAGAGAAGCATCATCTCGATTATCTTGATCCCTGAGGAACATGTTTGGATTCGCTTCCGCTTCCAACAAACCTCAATCAGTCTGCAGCAAAGCACACTCAGTTCCTCCCTTCTTTCGCTTCGCCTACGCCCCTCCCGTCCACCCTTTTCATTGAAGCAGCATCTCGGTCCCTCTGGAACATTTTTGGATTCTCAGCTGCTTATTTTCCCAATCCCTCCCTCCCTCCCCCCCCTTGCCCACCCCCACTCCAACTCCCTGTGCAGGGAAGCCGCATCTCGCTCCCTCTGGAACATGTTTGGCTTTTCAGCTGCTTCCAACAAAACCCAATCAGTCTGGGGGAGGAAGCAGGAGGGCGGCTCAGACGACGAGGAGGAAGGAGCAGAGGGAGCGGAGGGAGCGGAGGAAGCAGAGGTGGAGGAGATGGAGGTGCATGTGTCCCTGAGGGCTCCCAACGGCTGTGTGCTGTCGGCACATGATGACGGGTCGCTCCGGGCAGATACGCCGACAGATGCCGCCCTGCTGGACTGCCACGTGTTCCGCGTCACCAGGAATGTCCGCTCAGGGAAATTCGCCTTTTATGTGAGTCCTGTCCCTAGCAGCACGCCTCCTAGTAGCTTTGTATGTGAGACCCTGAGACCCTCGCCTACTATGTGCACTAGAGTTCTTCCCCACATGTATCCCTTCCGGACCTCCCTTCACCCCTTCCGCTGCAACGAGTGCCACCGACGAGCCCTGTAGTCCTCGCCTCGCATCTCATTGCACCCATGGTGCAGGGAGGTGCTGCAGAGACCTACTCACATCGTACCTCTCTCCCTCCCCACGCCCCCCCCCCTCTCTACCTCCCCTCCCCTCCCCACCCAGTCCATGAGTAATGAGCGCTACCTGAGAGCCCTGCAGCCATCACTCCTCTTCGCCTCCATGGTACAGGGAGATGCAGAGACCTTCTAACGTATTCACCTCTCTCTCTTCATAACTCTTCCTCCATCCCCCCTCCTGTCACCAATCCCTTCCCTCCCCTCCTCTCCCATCTCCCAACCCCAACCCAGTCCATGAGTAACGAACGAGCGCTACCTACGGGCCCTGCTGCAGCCATCGCTCCTATTCACGTCCATGGTGCAGGGAAACGCAGAGACCTTCTCACATCGTACCTATCACCCTCCCCCCCTCTCCCCCCACCTTCCCCTCCCCTTTCCCCACCCAGTCTATGAGCAATGAGCGCTACCTACGGGCGCTGCAGCCATCGCTCCTATTCACATCCATGGTGCAGGGAGAGGCAGAGACCTTCTCCATCCGCCGCCTGGACATGCTGCCCAAGTTCCTCGGAGTCAACCTGGGCGGCTGGCTTGTGGCAGAAGCCTGGATGTGCCCTCCTGCTCTCTTCGACGGGGTCTTTACTGTAAGTGAATGCGGCTTGTCTGGCCTAGGGTGCAGTGCGGTGCAGTTCAGTGTGGTGCAGTTCAGTGCGGTGCAGTTCGGTGTGGTGCAGAACGGTGCAGAGACCTTCTCTGTCTGCCGCCTGGATATGCTGCCCAAGTTCCTCGGAGAGTCAGCCTGGGCGGTTGGCTCGTGGCTGAAGCCTGGATGTGCCCTCCTGCTCTCTTCGACGGGGTCTTTACTGTAAGTGAATGCGGCTTGTCTGGCCTAGGGTGCAGAGCGGTGCAGTTCAGTGTGGTGCAGTTCAGTGCGGTGCAGTTCGGTGCGGCGCAGAATGGTGCAGAGACCTTCTCTGTCCGCCGCCTGGATATGCTGCCCAAGTTCCTCGGAGAGTCAACCTGGGCGGCTGGCTCGTGGCTGAAGCCTGGATGTGCTGTGCCCTCGTGCCTGCTCTCGTGAACAACCACCCCCCTCAACCACCACCAACCCCTTCTTCGACTCAACCCCTCTCAACCCCTCTCTACTCTTTCATATCCCCTCTTCCCCCTTCCCAATTCTTGCACCTGCTGCAGGACCTATTGGACGGCACGTCCATCCAGCTACAGTCCGTGGACAACAAGTGGGTGGCAGCGGAGGGAGGGGGCGGCGACCAGCTCAGGGCCAATAGGGACGCTGCTAGCGCATGGGAGACGTTTTTTCTTCGCCGGGCAGACCACGGCGCGTTTTTCATCCGGGCGGGCAGTGGGCACTTTTGGAGCGTGGATGCTGCAAGTGGCGAGGTGTTTGCCAACAAGTGAGACATGAAATCATGATTCTGAGAAACATTCGAAGCAAAATGAATCTCTTTTCCCTCAGCCACCCGCCCCACCTTCTCGCCCCCCTCTCTCTTCATTGCTACCCATCTAGTTCTCTCAAGAGGTCTCGTAGCTCTGCTTCTGTCGCAAGCGTTATGAGGTCTCTCATTTGGCTCAAATTTCTGATCCTTGATAGGGTCCATTAAAGTCTCAGACGTAACATCAAATGTCTCAAACGGCTCCTTAACTTTGCACGCCCTTCTCTATTTCCCTCCGCGCTTCCTTTCGCATCTTTCCCCGTCCTTTCTTTCTCTCTTTTGCTCTTCGTTTCTATCAGGGAGGACGAGGAGGAGGGCGAGATGTTCTGGGTGCGGCACAAGCTAGGAGAGGAGGGTACGGTGCAGCTGAGAGCGGCCAATGGCAACTGGGTGCAAGCGCTGGACGACGGCAGGCTTATAGCGGATATCGAGTGAGTCCATAGACGGGGGTGTAGTGAGTATTGAATGATTCATTGAGGCTTGTAGCATACATCGAATGATTCCATAGAGGGGCAAACAGCAGACCTTGTGTGATTTTATCGAGGAGCTTATAGCGGATCCCCAGGGGCTTCTAATGAGGACACCCCCAGGTGGGACACCACGTGCACATTCACTCTCAGCAAGCTCCGCAGACCTGAGGAAGGGGAGAGGCTGAACTCTTGTTTCCCTCCTATCCCCCCCTCCCTTCCACTCCCCTTTCCAGCGAGGACGTCCCTAGATGGGACACCATGTGCACGTTCACTCTATTCATCCCTGCCATCCTCTCCCCATCCCCAAGGCCAAACCCCAACCCCCTTTCTTTCAGTGAAGATGCCCCTAGATGGGACACCACGTGCACATTCACCCTGAGCAAGCTTGCAGACATGGGAGGGGAGGTGCAGCTGATGCTGGCGCTCGGTTGAGAGGAGGCAAAGAGCCTCCCATTCACTCCACTCTCCCCGCCCTCTTACTCGTCTCCTTTGCCCCCTTTCCTCCCCTCCAGTGAGGATGCCCCCAGATGGGACACCACGTGCACATTCACTCTCAGCAAGCTAGCAGACATGGGGGGAGAGGCACAGCTGATGCTGGCTCTTGGGCGGGAGGAGGCGGAGAGGAGGCTGCAGCAGCACCGGGAGGAGTGGGTGGGGGAAGGCGACTTTGAGTGGCTGGCGCGGCAAGGGGTGAACGCAGTGCGGATACCCGTGGGGTGGTGGGTCGCTGTCGACCCCACACCGGAAGAGTTTGTTGACGGAGCACTTGAGCTGCTGGATAAGGTGCGTGGGTATGGTGTGTGGTTCAGGCATTCACGTGTGTGGCTGTGTGGTAAGTGAGTGGCTGGCGCAGCAAGGGGTGAACGCCGTGAGGATACCTGTCGGGTGGTGGGTTGCTGTGGACCCCACACCGGATGAATTCGTTGAAGAGGCACTTGAGCTGCTGGATAAGGTGTGTGGGTGGGTGTGGTGAGGAGTGGGTGGGGGCAAGGGGTGAACGCTGTGCGGATACATCATACCCGTGGGGTGGTGGGTTGCTGTTGACCCCACACCAGAAGAATTCGTTGAGGGAGCTTTAGATCTGCTGGATAAGGTGGGTGTGGTTCAGGCGTACACGTGTGTGGCTGTGGGGTAAGTGAGGAGTGGCTGTCACGGCAAGGTGTGAACGCAGTGCGGATACCCGTGGGGTGGTGGGTTGCTGTTGACCCCACACCGGAAGAATTCGTGGCAGGAGCACTTGAGCTGCTGGATAAGGTGCGTGAGCTGCTGAACTGAAGAAGGGATGAACGCTGTGCGGATACCCGTGGGCTGGTGGGTTTCTGTGGACCCCACTCCAGAAGAATTCGTGGCAGGGGCTTTAGAGCTGTTGGATAAGGTGCATGGGTGTGGTGTGCGGTTCAGGCATACACGTGTGTGGCTGTGGGGTAAGTGAGGAGCGGGTGGGTGTGGTGCATGTATACATATGCATATGGAGTTCTGCAAGCGGCTATGCAGCAACTGGATAGGCGGGCTGGATAGTGGCTCTGGGGATGTGAAAGTACGAGGTAAAGGGGGTTCCTTCCGGCTTTAGTGTGTGCAGCATCCGCGTTATTGTGTGTCTTCATGCATGTAGGATCCACCCTGAAAATGATATCCACCTTTTTTCCTCACTTGCCTGCAGGCACTGGACTGGGCGCACACAAACAGCATCCGTGTTATAGTGTGTCTGCATGTGTGTACTTTGAGCCAATATTCTTCTCTCACACAATTGTTTTCTCCCCTGCAGGCACTGGACTGGGCGCACACAAACAGCATCCGCGTTATAGTGTGTCTGCACGCGGCCCCGGGTCTCAAAACGGGTGGGAGCACAGTGCGAGTCGAGACGGCATTCCAATGTGGGGCAAGCCCGGCACGCCCTACATGGATGAGACGGTTGACGCCGTCCGCTTTCTCGTGCAACGGTAAGTTCAAGTCAATCCAAAGGCCGCCCGGTAAGGGGTGCCCTACATGAATGAGACAGTTGACGTCGTCCGCTTCCTTGTGCAACAGTGACTTTTGAGTTGGTTGAATGCCGCCAGAATGCGATCTCCTGTATGTATGTATGTATGTATGTATGTATGTATGTATGTATGTATGTATGTATGTATGTATGTATGTATGTATGTATGTATGTATGTATGTATGTATGTATGTATGTATGTATGTATGTATGTATGTATGTATGTATGTATGTATGTATGTATGTATGTATGTATGTATGTATGTATGTATGTATGTATGTATGTATGTATGTATGTATGTATGTATGTATGTATGTATGTATGTATGTATGTATGTATGTATGTATGTATGTATGTATGTATGTATGTATGTATGTATGTACGTACGTACGTACGTATGTATGTATGTATGTATGTATGTATGTATGTATGTATGTATGTATGTATGTATGTATGTATGTATGTATGTATGTATGTATGTATGTATGTATGTATGAGACAGACGGCGCCGCCGCGCCGCCTGCTTGCTCGAGCAGCTGTGAGAAACGGCAGTGATGGTGTAGGGGGGGGTGGAGAGCCGAGTTTTGAGGCACTTCAAAAGTCCTATAGGCAGTCAACAACCCGAGGGCCGATGCAGTGTCTTATCTGCACACTAACCCCCCTCCCCTTTCTCTCTCCACCGTCTTCCTCTCTCACCCACACCAGGTATGCCTCGCACCCAGCCTTTGCAGGGCTAGAGCCAATCAACGAGCCGAGGGCCGATGCAGTCTCGTTTGACGACCTCGCACGCTACTATGAGCGGTGCTATGCGGTGCTGAGGGAACACTCGCCCTCCGCCTACTTTGTCATTTCTGGGAGAATTTTTGCCAACGAGAGGGAGTGGGACGACTTTATGACGAGTAAGTGTGTGTTTTTGTGTGTGTGTGTGTGTGTGTGCGTGCGTGCACGGCACGCACTGTCATATGTGCGCGCACAAAAGTGTGATGTGTTGTGTAGTGGAAGGGGATGGAAACAGTGAACGCTGCAATGTGCGCTATTGTGAATATTACAGCTTACAAGTTTGAAGGACGACTTTTCACCCATGTTTTGCATTTATGCAGGTGTGCATGCAGTGCAGGAATGTCTAAGTGTTCTTGAGTGTGCGTGCGTGTGTATGTGTGTGCCTGTGAGCCCCATGCATCCATCTGTACAGGTGCGCAGTGCACGAATGTGATCTACGACGCACACTGGTACCAAGTGCACGACCACGCGGAGTTTGGATCCCATTCGGTGGACTTCAATCTGTGTGTATATGTGTTCTTGTGTGCTCTTGTGTGTGCTTTTGTGAATGTTGTGGTTACGCAGGTGCGCAGTACACGAATGTGATCTACGATGCGCACTGGTATCAGGTGCACGACCACGCCGAGTTTGGATCCCAGTCGGTGGACTTCAATCTGCAGTACCCCTCGAAGCAGCGTGCTGCTGCGCTCAGCCTGCTGGAAAGAGGACAGCGGCTCGTGTTTGTGGGTGAGTGATTGAGTGAGTGAGTGAGTGATGGGAGTGAGTCAAACGAGAGAAGCAGTTGGCTCGGCAAGGTAATCAAGGTAGACTGATCAGCCGGGCATGCATGCTCATGGGTGCACGACCATGCGGAGTTTGGATCCCAGTCGGTGGACTTCAATCTGCAGTACCCCTCCAAGCAGCGCGGCGCTGCTCTCAACCTGCTGGAACGAGGGCAAGTACTCGTGTTCGTGGGTGAGTGATGGCAGTCACAATGACTAAAAGAACTCATTATTGTGCCCATGGCCATGCCCTGCCACCCCAAACCACACCACACACCACAGGAGAGTGGTCTCTGGCTCTGCTATGCGACACAAGCGACGACATCAACACTCGTTTCGCCAAAGCACAGCTACAGGCATACCTCGCGTCATCTTCCGGTTCGTTCTTCTGGTCGCTGAAACACGGGCAGGGGTGGGACCCCTGGAGCTTCAAGGCTAGTGTGGAGCGCCGGTGGATGACCTCTGCTCTCTGGCCCTGGTCCCGCTCCCCGCTGCTTGCATCCTCTCCTGGGGCTGCGGCTTCTCCAAAGAGACGTTCGAATTTGCAAAATGGAGGAAAAAGTGGGAGCCATGACCATGATGAGTTGTGACCTTTATGGCCGTGTGCATTTGCTGCTGTAGAACTGATGTTTGATTTAGTGATGTCATTGCAACCACTTACCTACCACGTGCTTTTGCTATAAACCTTGTATTGTACAATATAACTCACGTAGATTTCCCACATAACGAGTTGTGTTACGCATTTCGTTCAGTGGAAGTGTAGGACCAAGTGAAGGTGCTTTTACAATTGTCGTGTTCAGAGGCATCTTGGGGAAATGGATAACGTAACAAATCATGATTCTTAGCTGAGCATCCAGTAAAGAATATCCTCGCCAGGAATCACCAGCCTGATGAGCAGGAAAGGAATCTTCTGGTTCGCTTTGCTGGGCGCGCATCGAACCACGGAACCCCAACTCCTGCCCACCCAGCGAATCAGAACCTTTCCAGACTGCGGCCCAACATGAACACATCTCCGGTCAGCACCCGTATTGGTCAGGCGTTCAGCGAGGAGATCCGGTTTTGCCGCCAGACCGATGAGATGCCACTGGTCATCGCCACCGTGGCACTTTCGGATGTTTGGCTCCAATCAGGCGTTCCCAACTCATTTCGCGTCAGCCTCAGAAACCCATGCTGACATGTACTGTGGTCACCATTTCCAGATGCCCCCCTTTCGCCTAGGTGCACTCAGGCTGCAACATCCCCATTTGCTGAAGGTTCATGCAGTGCGGTTCAATACGCTAAATCACGGTCAAGCGGCGTTTATGTTTCACCGCTTTATAAATACCTTTCGCCGTCTGTAACCGTATCGTTTCCCGCCTGGCGTGATGGATCAGCTGCAAGCTAGACCTAGAAAGTTGGTTAGAGTAAGAAGCAAGCTAGGTGTACCCACTTCACTTGTGCTTAGCTAGTTGCTGTTAGTAGAAAGCCAGAGGAATACAAGCCAGGCCAGGAATCACTTGCGTATTTCATTTCGCAGTTTCCCGCTTGGCCAGTTTCATAATATTGTAATCTTCTCATTCCGCATGCCACGCTAGGTAAATCGAGATCGTTTGCGTCGTTTCGAATCCAGTTGAGACGAACTTTTTGAGTCTGGGTGAGCTTCAACCACAGCGGTTTCCGTTTCGACCATTCGCATTTCCTGATTTCCTAACGGAATGGCTCTCGAGGCGTCCGTCTCTCAGAGTCTACTCTCAGTCCCGACAACGATCGGTAGTCTGGATCGTGATCATTCGCGATGTGTCCGTGATTCTCAGAAGAATTTGCCAGGTTCTCTATTCTTAGGTCTCAAGTTACCTCGAGACATTTCAAGGGGAGAACTGGTTTGCGTTTCCAGCTCCAAAAGAATCAATAGAAGAGGTGGTTCCAGTAATGGCCGTAGGTTCATTCTTAAAGCAGCAGCTGAGCCTGGTTCCTTTTCTAGCCGGAATGTTAGCAGTTTGTTGAAGCGTTCTCAGCCTCCTCGGGATGTTAGCGCATCTGTTGGAGTCGCTCCTCGAAGCATCTCTGTTTCCCCCAACGTTTTGTTAGTTTCCGAGGTGCTTCAACAGGAGAAACCGCAACAGCAACTGCAGCAGCAGAAACAGCAACAACAACAGCAACAGCAGCGGCAGCAGCAGCAGCAGCAGCAGCAGCAGCAGCAGCAGCAGCAGCAGAAGGGGCTGGAGCAACGGCTTTCACATGACCCGGCGAAAGTCACCAAGCCAGCCGTTTCAGCCGCTCAACGCCTCGCGGAGAACGCCAATCGGCTCCACAATCTTCTCCTGCAGCTCTCCACAGCTCAGACATTCGACGAGAAAGACGCAATCCTGAGCGCGGACCCGCGGGTGCGCGCAGTCTTCCCCCAGCAAGGCTCCTCCCTCGGGAAATTCGTCAAGCCTGCTGTTTCGATGGCCATGGATTGTTGCAGTCAGGAGGAAATTTACCTGCTCAAGTGCCTGGTGGCGTCCGGGCAAGAGCATTTGTTGGACACTCCGGTTGCCTGGGCTGAAGGGATGGACTCTATCTGGGAAAAGGCGCATTGCCAGAGCAGCGCCAAGGCAGAGTCAGGAGGAGTTGGCGGAGGAGGAGGAGGAGTGAAGGAAGCCTTTTCTATGCTCGCTTCCATGATCGACGGCTGGGACACGCACCCAGACGCCCCCCGGTCCGCGCTTCCCGCATTCCTCGCCGGGTTCGACAACCCCGGCGTGTTTCCCGCTCCGCTTATGGACCTCATTGACTGGGAAGACCGCCGATCGGCGCACGGCCCTTCAGCTGCTACTATTGAATGTGCGGCGAGCTCTGGAGGGAAAGGAGATGGGCAGCCGTTTTCGTCTCGGTCGTCGACGCTGCTCGCGCAGCTGAAGGAAGGGCTGGAGTATCCGAGCGTGTTCGGCGCTCCGCTGTTGGACCTGGTTGACTGGGAACGGCTGTGGCAGTCAGAAGGTGGACCAAGCTCCCCTAGCAGCAGTAGCAGCAGTAGCAGCAGTAACAGCACCAGTAGCAGCAGCAGCCGTGGTAGCGGCGGTGACAGTGACAGCAGCTGTGGGTTTGCGAGCGACGGTGGTAGCAGCAGCAGCGGGTGGGAGGATAATGGTGGCTCTTTGAGGGACCATGAGCCACGCGCGCAGCTGCAGGCACTTCTGGCGATGCTGCGGCGAGTGGAGAAGTTCTACGACGGCATTGGCGGCATTCTTGGGTAAGCTATTCTGAACTGATTTTGTAGTCGGCTCATAAACGGCGTTGGCGGCGGGATTATCGGGTACGTTATTTGAGTTAATTACTCAAAGCAATGCTGATTGCCGATGTTGCAGCAGCATTGGTGGAACCGTCGGGTACGTGATTCTGAACCCTAATTTCTCCCTAGTTGTTTTAACAGAGAGTTGGGAACTCTGGCTTTTCAATGTGGCGGAATAAAAAAGTGTAAAGATCTGAGCTGAGCTGACTTTTCAGGCGCCTCAAAACTAGAAGAGCTTGTGTTTGCTGTTGTTTATTGCGCGCAGGTATCAGTCGACGTGCCTGGATCTCATTCAGCAGTCCGTTGCTGCATCGCAGCAAGCAGCCGCTGCTGCAGCAGCAGCAGCAGCAGCAACAGCAACTCTAGCAACGTCCCTGGCAGCAGAGAACATGATTGCCAAAGAAACAGAAAACGAAGGACGCGGTTTCGAATCCCAGCGACGGATTTTTATGCCCCCTGGCCAAGACCTGGCAAGTGATCCGGAGTTTGCCTCTCAGGCAGCGTTTTGGGGCCTTGAGGTGAGTTTGCGGGCATTTCCTTTCCCATCTCTTGCGACTGAGAGGAAATGCATGCTTTCTGAAGCAAAATGTGTTTTCGTCGTCACTGCAGTGCAGTTTGAGGTGACTTTTGAGTCGACTCAAAAGTCACCTCGTTCTGTGGGCATTTCCTTTCCCGTCTTTTGCGACTGAGAGGAAATGCATGCCTTTTTTAAGAAAATATGCTTTGCTTTCTTGTCACCGCAGTTTTCACTTCCCTACAGATGACGTACTTCAAATCCCCTCTCCTCCCAATTCCATCTTCTTATCACACCAGGGGCTGCCTGCAATGGCGGAAATATACCCCTTGGGAGGCGCGGGGGACAGGCTAGGACTGGTGGACGAGGCAACAGGGGAGAGCCTGCCTGTGGCAATGCTGCCGTACTGTGGCCGCACGCTCCTGCATGGGCTTCTGAGAGACCTGGAGGTGAGCAGCTGAGTTCTGAGACGCCAGGCACGATGCTGCTCTGCTGCAGCCTCTTGCTGCTGCACGGGCGAATTTAGAAGCATAACAGCAATCCACTGCGTTGTTATGGTACTATGTTATGCCCACATCCCTGCTTGTTTGTGTATTTGGAGAGCAGAGCAGCACGTGCCCCCCAGGCCATCATGACCAGTGCGGCCAAGAAAAACCACCAGAGGCATAAAAAGCTACATTAGAAACCAATGCAGTGCACTGAATGAATTTCCTACCTTTTGTCCCCACCTTCCCCTCCCCTCCCCTCACCCGCCTTTGGCCCTGCAATGCAGGCGCGAGAGTATCTGCATTTTCGTGTGTTCGGCCAGCACCACGTGACGCCAGTGGCCATCATGACCAGTGCGGCCAAGAAGAATCACCAGAGGGTGCTGGCTCTGCTGCAGCAGCACAACTGGTTCGGGCGGGGCGAGCACAACTTCCGCCTCTTCCAACAGGTGCGCTTCTTGTTTCCAGATGCTTTGATATGGGCTTTCTTTTGACACGTGACGAAGTCAGTCCACCAGAGGGTGCTGTCTCTTCTGCAGCAGCACAACTGGTTTGGCCAGGGCGAGCACAACTTCCAGCTCTTCCAACAGGTGTGGTTTCAAGTTCGATTCGTTTTGATTCAAGTATGGTCTCAATACAGGTTGTTCCTGTCGCCAGCTTCCACCCCCAACCCCTCCAACCCCCTTCAATCCCTCCCAACCCCTCACTCCATCCTTGCTCTTGCAGCCGCTGGTGCCAACAGTGGCGGCGGAGGATGGCAGGTGGCTGGCCAGCGGCCATCTCTCGCCCGTGCTCAAGCCAGGCGGCCACGGAGTCAGCCGACGAGGGCGTGTTTGAGGCGCCTCAATAGCCCTCACCAATCCCTCCCAACACCTTCGAACCCCTCAATTCTCACTTTGAACCCTTTCCCACCGCTTTAAACCCCTTCGTTCTGCTTCTGCAGCCGCTGGTCCCAACAGTAGCAGCGGAGGATGGCAGGTGGCTGGCGAGCGGCCATCTCTCGCCCGTGCTCAAGCCAGGCGGCCACGGGGTCATCTGGAAGCTAGCAGCGGACGAGGGCGTGTTTGAGTGGCTGCGCTCCAAGGGTCGCAAGGCCGCAGTGATCAGGCAAATCAGGTAAGCATGTGAACCGTAGCAAGTGATCTGGCAGCTACAGCAACAGCAACTTACGTGATAAAAGTGTAATTTTGAGACGTCTCAAAAAAACTTACATGACTCGCCTGGAACTTTCTGGCATTCCCGACATTTTCCTGATCGTGTGCCCTCCCTCCTCCCTCCTCCCTCCTCCCTCCTCCCTCCTCCCTCCTCCCTCCTCCCTCCTCCCTCCTCCCTCCTCCCTCCTCCCTCCTCCCTCCTCCCTCCTCCCGCCGTCATGTTCCTCTCCCTTTCTGTCATCTGCAGCAACCCATTGGCAGCAACAGACATGACTCTCCTCGCGCTCTCTGGCGTTGGCCTGCACGGCAACAAGGTGAGAAGAGGGGAAGGTACTTTTGAGACGTCTCAAAAGTCGGCGTTGGTCTGCACGGCAACAAGGTGAGAACAGGGGAACGTATATGGTCTTGCGCCTGGCATGAGACTTGCGGTTCATATCTATTTCCCGTTCTTTTTCTCATGATCGGGAGGGGCGCCATCTTGGCCGGCTGGCTGTAATGTGTGAGTGCACACAGAGTATGGCGCTCTTGGGAGCAGGCAGCAGCAGCTGCAGTGGCAGCAGCAGTGGCAGCAGCAGTGGCAGCAGTGGCAGCAGCAGTGGCAGCAGTGGCAGGCAATCTTTATTTTGCCTCCGTACCCTCTCCCTCCTCCTTCCCCTTCCCCATTCCATGCAGAAATTCGGCTTTGCGTCGTGTGATCGCAACGTGGGCACATCAGAGGGTGTAAACGTGCTGGCAGAGCAGCAGCAAGCGGACGGGTCGTGGGCGTACGGGCCGACATGCATCGAGTATACCGAGTTTGAGAAACTCGGCATCAGCGACGCGCCCGTGGCTCCTGGCAGCAGCCGGTCGCATTACCCTGCCTGCTCCTCACCACGTTATTCCCCCTTCCCCCCTCCCGCCTTCCCTACACCACGCAGAAATTCGGGTTTGCGTCTTGTGACAGGAATGTGGGCACAGCAGAGGGTGTGAACGTGCTGGCAGAGCAGCAGCGGGCGGACGGGTCATGGGCGTACGGGCTGACATGCATCGAGTATACCGAGTTTGAGAAACTCGGCATCAGCGACGCGCCTGTGGCTCCTGGTAGCAGCCGGTCGCATTACCCTGCCTGCTCCTCACCACGTTATTCCCCCTTCCCCCCTCCCGCCTTCCCTACACCACGCAGAAATTCGGGTTTGCGTCTTGTGACAGGAATGTGGGCACAGCAGAGGGTGTGAACGTGCTGGCAGAGCAGCAGCGGGCGGACGGGTCATGGGCGTACGGGCTGACATGCATCGAGTATACCGAGTTTGAGAAACTCGGCATCAGCGACGCGCCTGTGGCTCCTGGTAGCAGCCGGTCGCATTACCCTGCCTGCTCCTCACCACGTTATTCCCCCTTCCCCCCTCCCGCCTTCCCTACACCACGCAGAAATTCGGGTTTGCGTCTTGTGACAGGAATGTGGGAACAGCGGAGGGTGTGAACGTGCTGGCAGAGCAGCAGCAGGCGGACGGGTCGTGGGCGTACGGGCTGACATGCATTGAGTATACCGAGTTTGAGAAACTCGGCATCAGCGACGCGCCTGTGGCTCCTGGCAGCAGCCGGTCAAAATACCCTGCCAACACCAACGTTCTCTTTGCTGACCTGCACGCTGTTGAGATGGCTGTGTTAGGCAAGACTGGTGAGGCTGGTGCAGGGGAGGAGCGGCACCGTCAGCAGCGGCAAGAGCAGCAGCAGCCGTGCTGTGGACCAGCTTTGAACAGCAGCAGCAGCAGCAGCAGCAATGGAAGCAGCAGCGCGAATTTCCCTGGGGACCGGTCAGGCGGTGGGATCTGTGCGGGCTTGTGTGGCCCAGACAGTGCCGTTCATACAGACACTGTGAATATCGGGTCGTTCAGTGGGGTTTACGCCAACAGGAGTGCATTCTCTGGCAGCAGGAGTGGCAGCAACAGGAGGAGCTCAAGCCCCAACAGCAGCAGCAGCAGCAGCAGCAGCAGCAGCAGCAGCAGCAGCAGCAGCAGCAGCAGTCCACCATCGCTACCTGGAATGATCATGAACCTGAAGAAGTCGATCTCGTTTGAAGACTGCTATGGCCGCCCTCAAAGGTGTGTGTCAATCTCCGTCGCGGGCAGGAATTATCGTGTGTCGTCTGTTGTGTTGGTCCGTCCATTCATTCCATTGAATGGGGTTTCTTTCTTTCTTTCTTTCTTTCTTTCTTTCCCATTTATGACGAGCGTTTCAGTCGTGTGGTTTCTTTCTTTTCCTGTCTCTCGCCATCCTGTCTTCACACCATCCGAGGAGGCCGATTGGAATGCACGATGCAGAACATCGCTGATCTCCTCATCACCTCTCACTCATACCGCCTGCCTCTGGTTTGGACTACCGACCGCGTCACTCATTCCTGACCTCTCTCTTTCCCTTCACTTCACTCTCTGGCTTTGCAGCATTCGAGGAGGCCGATTGGAGTGCACAATGCAAAACATCGCGGATCTCCTCGTCACCTCCCTCCCGTACCGCCTGCCTCTGTTTTTGACTACCGACCGCACCATCCGAGGAGGCCGGCAGGAATGCACGATGCAGAACATCGCGGATCTCCTCGTTACTTCTCACTCATCCCCCTGGATTTTTTTCCATCCCGTTCCCTCCCTGCCCTTGCTGTGCAGCATCCGAGGAGGCCGATTGGATCTGCTTTTGAGTCGACTCAAAACCACCCCCGGGTCTTCTTTCCTTCCCGTTCCCTCCCTGCCCTGGTTGTGCAGCATCCGAGGAGGCCGATAGGATCTGCTTTTGAGTCGACTCAAAACCACCCCCCCGGTCTTCTTTCCATCCCGTTCCCTCCCTGCCCTGGTTGTGCAGCATCCGAGGAGGCCGATTGGATCTGCTTTTGAGTCGACTCAAAACCACCCCCCCGGTCTTCTTTCCTTCCCGTTCCCTCCCTGCCCTTGCTGTGCAGCATCCAAGGAGGCCGATTGGAGTGCACGATGCAGAACATCGCTGATCTCCTCGTCACCTCCCTCCCATACCGCCTACCTCTCGACATGGATACTGCCACCGCTGCTACTGCTGCTTCCTCAATTTCTCCAACCCACAGTGGTGAAGCCACTGCTCAGGAGGGCAGGGAGGGGCGGGGTGGAGCACAGGTGCAGGGCGAACGGAGTGCAGCTGCAGTGGACAGTGGGACAGAGGGGAATGCGGCAGAGCACAGCAAGCATCAGCTACAGGCGGTGCTGGACACGTTTCTGGTGTTCAACGACCGCTGCAAAGTCACCTCCTCCGCCAAGCGCCGGCGCAAGCCCACAGACACGTCCCTGCATCAGGTATGGCTGGAGTAGAGGCAGTGGGACAGGTAGGGGAGAGCAGGAGACAGGTGCAGGCGGCAGTGGACAGTGGGAGAGAGGACAGGAAGAGACAGGTGCAAGCGGTGCTGGACACGTTTCTGGTGTTCAACGACCACCGCAAAGTCCCCTCCCCCGCCAAGCGCCGGCGAAAGCCAACGGACACGTCTCTGCACCAGGTACGGTGGAGTTCAGGCAGTGGGGCAGAGGGCAGTTGGGTAGAGGGAGGTTCCTTGTTGGACCTGAACTGCAAGCAACTCACTTCCCTACTGCCTCCTTGCTTACCCCACTGACGCGTTTTTTTTTTTTTTTTCCATCCAGAATCGTCCCACGTGCTTCAGACGGCCCGTTCTTGGATCTCAACCACAACTCGCTGGAACTCTTCTCCTCCACTTCGCACACTCGTCCCACTCGCTCATCCCACACTCATCCCACTTGCTCATCCCACACTCATCCCCTCCCTCCTCCCTTCTCTCGCTTTCCCTACCCACCACACTCCTGCAGACTCCAGACGGCTCCTTCTTGGACCTCAACCGCAACTCGCTGGAGCTCTTCTCCTGCACTTCCCTCACCTACCTTAAACGTGTACCCTTGCCCATTCCTCCCCCTTTCCCTTCCGTCCCCAACTTGCAGACTCCAGATGGCCCCTTCTTGGATCTCAACCACAACTCGCTGGAACTCTTCTCCTCCGCTTCGCACACTCGTCCCACTTGCTCATCCCACACTCATCCCCTCCCTCCTCCCTTCTCTCGCTTTCCCTACCCACCACACTCCTGCAGACTCCAGACGGCTCCTTCTTGGACCTCAACCGCAACTCGCTGGAGCTCTTCTCCTGCACTTCGCACACTCGTCCCACTTTTGAGGCGCCTCAAAAGTCGTCTCTCTACCCGCAGATGGCCCCTTCTTGGATCTCAACCACAACTCTCTGGAGCTCTTCTCCTGCACTTCCCTCACCTGCTTTGCATCCTTGCTCATCCCCTCCTCCCTCCCCTTTCCTTTCCCTCCTGTCCCGAACGCCCCTGCAGACTCCAGATGGCTCCTTCCTTGACCTCAACCGCAACTCGCTGGAGCTCTTCTCGTCCTGTGGTGTTGCCATGCCGCATGTGAGTGCCTGAAGTGCCTGTAGTGCCTGCTGTGCCTGCTGTGCCTGCTGTGCCTGTAATGTCCACGTTCTCCACTCTCTGCCACTCTCTGCCACTCTCTGCCACTCTCTGCCACTCTCTGCCACTCTCTCCACTCTCTCCACTCTCTCCACTCTCTCCACTCTCTCCACTCTCTCCACTATCTCCTCTGCCCCCATCAGATGCACAGCGATCACAAGCGCTACGTGGACTCATCTCCACCGTTCATCTTCCTCTTTCACCCCGCCCTCGGCCCGCTCTGGAGCGTCATTCGGCAAAAGGTATGTCTGCTCTCTGCCCATAGCGTTTCTAAGGCTTTTCAAAATAGTTTTGAGTCGACTCAAAACCCGCCCTCAGCCCGCTCTGGAGCGTCATCCGGCAAAAGGTACGTCTGCCCACTGCCCGTAGCGTTCTTACGCTTTACAGAAGAGTTTTGGGTCGACTCAAAACTCGCCCTCGGCCCGCTCCAGAGTGTCATCCGGCAAAAGGTACAGCAACACACAAATGCCACATCTGCCTGTGGTCAAGCACTTCAGTTCAGAAAGTTGTTTTTTTCTTTTAACGCTTTTCAGCTGCCTCAGGCCTTCGCTCTCAGGTGTCCTCCCGCAGAAGTTACACCCTCTGTACATCAAAAGTCGCTTAACTGTTTTTTGGGGAGGTTTGTTTTCCTTCCTGCTCATCCCTGTAGTACTTACCTCTTTTCTTGTCGGTGTTCTTGTGCTTGTGTGTAAACCGCAGGTACAGGGAGGCTCTGTGGCGCCACACTCTGAAGTGAAGCTGGAGATAGCTGAGCTTGCGTGGTCTGACGTACATGTGAGTCATGCAAGTCAACCAGGTGTAGTGAGGTGGTCAAACAGGGTCAGTAAGAGTCAAACAGAATTGCTGTGGCGCCACACTCTGAAGTGAAGCTGGAGATAGCCGAGCTTGCGTGGTCCGACGTACATGTGAGTCATGCAAGTCAACCAGGTGTAGTGAGGTGGTCAAACAGGGTCAGTAAGAGTCAACCAACGCTAGTCAGCCAGGTTCAATACAAGTCATTCAGGTCAATGGGAATCAAACGGGGTCAATGTGAATTAAACTAAGTTAATCTGGGAGTCTGTTAATGCAGGTATCTGGACCCTCACCCACCAGTGCCCCCACTCACCATTTGCCCCACCTGCCCATCTACCCCAATGCAGGTATCTGGGAGCTTGTTGATCGAGGCCGATGCCGTCACAGCTCGGCCAAGGCTGAGCATACCTTGATCAAATCTGCCCAGTGGCTTTTCGTTGAGCTCGTAAGTCCTCCCTTTCCCTCTATTACCTTCACCTACCCCAATGCAGGTATCTGGGAGCTTGTTGATCGAGGCCGATGCAGTCACAGGCTCTAGGGATTCCCACTCCAGCACCACACAGCTAGGCCAAGGCTGCGGTCGGTGCCGGTTACACAACGTGACGGTTACCAACAGGGGAGTGGACTGGGATAACGGGGCAAACGTTTACTGGCAGGACCGGGTGCAGAGGAAGGAGGCGTTGAGAGTGGTGCTGCACGGTGATGCAGAGTTCGAGGCGAGGGATGTGGCGATTGTGGGCGATCATGTGTTTGACGTACCAGAGGGGCACCGAATGGTTGTGTTTGCATCGGAAACAGGTGAGCGGTGCAGAGTGGTTCAATGCAATGGGGTGAGATGTGAGGGGAATTGAAGCGAGGGATGTGACGATTGTGGGCGATCATTTGTTTGACATTCCTGAGGGGCACCGCATGGTCGTGTTTGCATCGGAAACAGGTGAGCAAAAGGATGGCTTGATTTGTCAGGGCTCATCGTGCACGCGGATTTTGGGCTGTTTAGATTGCCTGACAGGGTATTTTCTGGGGGATTTTTGTGGTAGACTGTAGTCAAAAGTCATTCCTATACACCTCTTCCTTTTGTGTCCACATCAGGAGCCATGCAAACAAGGCTGGAGAAGCTTCCTGGCAGGAGGCCTACCTGGGAGTGGCAGTACTCTGTGGGTGACCATGGGTCCCTCCAGCTCACCCTGATTGAAGCTTAGAAGTTAGAATGGAAATGGAGATGTAACTGTAGATGTTTGTATAGTCGTACCAGATGCTAATAAAGTGAAGCTTTGTGATTACAAAACAGTGGCTGTGAAAGTGTGTGGCCGCAGATGCTTCTCTAACCAGTTAGCCAGTTATATTTACAAGCAGCTGCCACCTCTTGCATCAAGATGCACAGAAATAAATAAATATGGCAGCAGTTGGCCAGTGGCCACTCAGTATGCCAAACACAAAGTCAGGCCCAACTGCTAGGTACTCTAGTGGGAAACACTTCCATCCACGACTTTTGTACATGCCCAAAAATCCTGATCTCGATTTATGTGTCATCTGTGCTGGTTCCAGCTGCTGTCCATTGAGATGCCACATCAGCATCAGCTGCTGTCTTACATTTGCCTCCAAGCCCTACACTGGCAGCTCCACTTGCGCTTGACTTGGGGAAGTCGCAACAAGAAAGTCGCACAGATGTGCAGCGTCCGTTGGCTGTGGTGGTTGCCTGCATCCTCATCCTCCTCCCCCTCACCCTCACCCTCACCGTATATGTCAACAATTTCCTTCTTTGCAGATTTCAGGTTAAATTATTATCTGAGAATGCGTTAGCATAGTTTTGTGGCGTCAAAGCCCCTTCAAATATCATGCTGCCGCGTCTGCTTGCATCCTCCGCCTCTCCCTTTACGAGCTGCTGTGGCTTCTGAGGTGGTCTCAAAACTCATCTTTTTGAAACCTCGGTCTCTCCTTCATCTGCTCGTGTTCTCCACCTTCCCTTCTTCCAGCTGCTTCACCCTCTGCCTCAGCTCAGTAATCTTCCCGTCCAGCTTTTGATGCGCCTCAAAAGCCATGTCATCTGCTTGTGCTCTCCACCTTCCCTTCTTCCAGCTGCTTCACCCTCTGCCGCAGCTCAGTAATCTTCCCGTCCAGTTCCTTCCTGGCAGATTCCTTTCCAAACATGTAGCCGTACCTGAGAGGGGTATTAGGGCACTCAAAGAGGTGGTTTAATGGGAGAATCTGGAGATGGAGGACACGCAATGAGAAGAACACGAGAGTCAGGAACTAGTTAGCCACAATGAAGGATTCCGTACTCGCTTGTGGTACCTCAGTTCGGATTCCACGTACCACTGACGCTTTTTGAGACACCCTAGAACGGGTTCTGCTTACTGAGGGACCTAGATGACAGCGGTGACGAATCGAGGAGTAACTGGTTACAGAAACCTCACCAGGCGGACAATGCAGAGAATCCGGACAGAATCGACGCGAACTGCACAGGAGAGACCTGCATGATCGGGTCCCAGACCAATGCACCAGCGCGAAACGAGCCACCTGGATTCGACTGAATAACTGATTGTTGTGGCTAACGCGGTACGGATATTGGACCCTAGGAGGTGGGTCGCAGGAACGGAAAGCTTCTACATTAGGCTCAGAAATCTCTACCAAGTGGATTAATATGTGATTTAGGTGTGGACCATAAGTATTGTTTGAAGATAGTGTGTTTCAACACTCAAGAGAGTTCGTAAATGTGTAGCCACTCGGACCAGCGCGAAGAGTAATGGCGAATGGTAACTTTCTAATTGACGACAATAACGGAGTCGTTGCTGGTTTGTCGCGAGCGCGGATATCGGCCACATGCTGACGACACTAGAACTACCAGCCAGCAGCATCATCCAGTCTAGAATTGACGCGTGTGATTCACCTGACAGGAGGATTAGATTCTAAACCTTCACTCATTGGTTACCCGCTCGGAGCTTCCGTTACTCTCCCACTTTTCAACCAATGAAGGGAAAGAATTCTCGCTTCAATCACCACAGTAGGCTGGAGTCTTCAGGGGCCAGCGAGAGAATTTCTCCAGTGGCCAATCGGGTGATTCATCCTCTCTCGGGGGGCCTCGAATTACTCGAGTGGCCACGAAATTGGGTGATAATTACTCGAGTGGCCACGCCAGGGGATTCCTGCTCGCTTTTTTTTCACCGGCGCATTACCCTACGGGGCTTTGTAGCCCTGAAATTCCTTATTCGTGCGCGTGGTATCCCTAGGTGGTGTTCCGTTATGATCCGCACCTTAAAATTTCGCCAGGCTCACGGACGCGAAAGTGGCCCGCCCACTGTACAAGAAACCGACCAGCAGTACATTGACCAGTCAGTTTCGGCCAAATGCGCGACCAATGAGCGCGCGGTCCATCTAATTAACATCCAATCAGCGATCGAGCATATGACTTCGCGATCATATACTGCATTTCACCCGAAACGAACCGACACAGCAAAACGACCGCACTCGATTGGTCAGGAGATAGAGCGGTGCATTTGTTGCCACTGCGCGTCTAATCAAGCGCAAGATTTACGGATTGTCGATCATATTTGAACGCGTTCGTTAAACACAATATGATCCCGCCAATCATATACTAAATAGTCTCGCACAAAAGGTTCGAATTAACCCGCTCAAACTGGTTTGGTATGCCCTTTTCAACTTCCCGCGCTTTATCATTTGATCCATATGCTACAGATTGCTCACACCATTTCCTCGGGTCATTTTAGGGTTCAAATCTACCTTAGCCTTTGATTAGACCAGTTAGGTCCTTAAAGGAGGTTCATCTAGGAGGTCCTACGGTTAGAACGTTCATATTAACCGCAATGAGTTTGACGTCTTATACTTGTAACACAGAGTCCGACTCAGGCAATGAGGACACTGAGTTTTGCTTCGTTGGAACCGGAGAGCCCAAACAAAGTGATATGTACCGCGCGTTGCTGCGGGAAATGGTCGTCGACGAGGCCCCATCGCCACAAATCGTCATAGACGATCGAGCACCGTTATGTGAAGGTCAGCTATACTCCTCTAAGAAATTTTTGTACGAAGCACTAGAGGACTATTCGGTAGCTTGGAACTTTGGTTTTAGGGTTACGAGGAGTAGGCGAAACAGAGCCCAGGCCATATGCATGAGTAAACATGAGCGTCGTAAACCTGCGTGCCGGTGGCGGTGTGAGTACTCTACTGACGGAGTGGGTGGGTTTTGGTGTGTTGACATACTGTCCGCCCCATCATCCCATTGCTGCTCAGTCGTTGATCGGGACCGCTACGTGCAACACACGACAAATAAAGTGTCATATCTGCAGCGTCATCACGGCAATCTTGTCCAAGCTGCACCACATCACCCTCCCGGGACGTACAAGGAACAGATTGCGTCTACTGGTGGTCCCGATATAAAATATCAGCAATCGTGGCGGTACGTTTCCAAACGTTCGATCCACATGACCGCCATTGTCACATGCACGTTCTTAATCGCCCGATCCACCTCATATTTGTGGGTACCTGCTTCTGTTTTCTTGTACACCGTCGTCTGTTTTTGCAGGCTAAAGGAAAAGATGTTGAAGGAACGTTTTGGAGACTGGAAAACTTCTTTTCGCTACATTCCGCGGGTCTTGGAACGGTTCAAAGAGATAGATCCACATTCAACGCTCGACATCCTGACAAAGGATCACGCTTTCTTCCGGGCTTTTGTCGCCCCATCGGCGTCACGAACAGCTCTAAGGTTCTGCCGACCAGTCATTGGTATGGATGGTACATTTCTCATTCGTGCGCAGCGGGCCACGCTCTTGGTAGCAGCTGCTAAGGATGGAAATAACCAGCTTGTTCCACTTGCTTATGGCCTGTGCGAGAGTGAGAACAAAGATAGTTGGATGTGGTTTTGTGCGAACTTGTTGAAGCATTTTCCGTCGTGGCCGGACACCCAGGATGCCTCCCTCATCAGCGATCGTGACAAGGGGTTAATACCGGCGGTTAAAGAAGTTTTCCCACCCCAGTTCCCCCACTACTTTTGCAGTTGGCACTTGGAGCAGAATGTGCTCAAGTTTGGCCCTAACGCCTCCGAACTCTTCAAGAAGCTCGCCAACTGCCGCAGCAAGCGGAAGTTTGGCAAACTCGTGAGGAGATGCCGGGCCGAATGTGCTGGAATGGCTAACTATCTCTTTGGGGTCGAGGAGACAAGTGCGCAGCAGACCCGCGGCGGACGCGGGGCCAACCAGCGTGCACGGGAGCCAGGGGCAGGGGTGTCAAACATTATATATGTTATGCTTGTGTAGGCTACAGTGGGCTAGCCTATAGGGGGTACACAATTCTAGGGTTTCCTACTTGTACTCATTTCACTGCTAGTTCATCCATTCCTGTTCGCTTATTCTCACATGGTATAGAGCGGGTCCTTCTAAGGACCGTTTTTTTTGGGCCCACCGAAGCGCACCCCGAGGCGCGATTTTTTTTTAGCGACCCCTCGGGTCGCCTTTTCCCCTGCGGCTCAGCCGCCTCCACTGACGCGGCCCCGCCGCCCTCCCTTACGCGGCCCCGTCGCCGGCTCTCACGCGGCCCCGCCGCCGACTCTGTCGCGGCCCCGCCCCGGCCTTTACGCGGCCCCGCTGCCTGCTCTCACGCGGCCCCGCCCCGGCTCCTACGCGGCCCCGCCCCGGCCTTCACTCGGCCCCGCCGACGGCTCTGTCGCGGCCCCGCCCAGGCTCTTACGCGGCCCCGCCGCCTACTCTCGCGCGGCCCCGCCCCGGCTTTCACGCGGCCCTGCCGACGGCTCTCTCGCGGCCCCGCCCCGGCTCTTCCGTGGCCCCGTCCCGGCAATTACGCGGCCCCTGCCCCGGCTCTTACGCGGCCCTGCCGCCGGCTCTCTTGCGGCCCCGCCCCGGCTCTCACGTGGCCCCGCCGTCGGCCCTCTCCAGGCCCCGCCGCCGGCTCTCTTACGGACCCGTCGCCGGCCCTGACGCGGCCCCTGCCCCGGCTCTCAAGCGGCCCCGCCGCCGGCTCTGAAGCGGCCCCGCCCCGGCTCTCACGCGGCCCCGCCGCCGGCCCTCACGCGGCCCCTACCCGGCTCTCTTGCGGCCCCGCCGCCGGCTCTGAAGCGGCCCCGCCCCGGCTCTCACACGGCCCCGCCGCCCGCCCTCACGCGTCCCCACCCCAGCTCTCTCACGCGGCCCCGCCGCCACACCTGCAGCAGTCGGGCAGCAGTGCGGCCGAA